AAAAAGGCCCTTTACCGGAGAGTTATAGCTTCTCGAATATAGAATCGATTTACTCCTAAATGGTTATAATTTTTTGTTTGTATGATATCAGACAAGACCGTGGATGATTTTCGGAGATTGCATAAAATCTTTGTTTTTTATTTCAGAGATCAGCAACTTATCTACAATCGACAGTCTCTTCTACAAACACATACCAGTACTAAAAACACATACCGGTACTAAAAACACATACCAAAAACACATACCGGTACTAAAAACACATACCGGTACTAAAAACACATACCAAAAACACACACCGGTACTAAAAACACATACCGGTACCAAAAACACATACCGGTACTAAAAACACATACCGGTACTAAAAACACATACCGGTACTAAAAACACATACCAAAAACACATACCGGTACTAAAAACACATACCGGTACTAAAACACATACCAAAAACACATACCGGTACTAAAACACATACCAAAAACACATACCGGTACTAAAACACATACCAAAAACACATACCGGTAGTAAAAACACATACCAAAAACACATACCGGTAGTAAAAACACATACCGGTACTAAAAAATAATATGTATCTTATTATCTTATTCATATTGAAAAGGTGAAGGACTTTCCTGGACAAAATTATTTGGGTTTAGATACAGACGTAAATAACAAATCATGGGTTCCTCTATAAACATTAGTCTAGGAATAGTTTATAATTACGCAGATTTTAACTAAACTTGTATACATCAATAATGGTTTAAGAATTGCATTGAAAATAATGCAGTTAGCCTTCTAAATCAGATACCGTTTTTACGATTGGAGCGAGAGATGGTATCAGATACCGAGTTTACGATTGGAGCGAGAGATGGTATCAGATACCGAGTTTACGATTGGAGCGAGAGATGGTATCAGATACCGAGTTTACGATTGGAGCGAGAGATGGTATCAGATACCGAGTTTACGATTGGAGCGAGATATAATTTATACATTTCTTAAAAGATTAGCAACGTTCTAACGTTCGAAAATTGAACCCTAAACGTCAAAATACAGATTGACAAAAAATTATGTGTGTGTGTGTGGGGGGGGGGGGGGGTGCAGTTAATTTATTAAAGATACATTATGTAAGATTTAGATAAAGAGCTGGCAGTTCTTGCTATAATAGTTCAAAAATAGATAATGAAAAATGAATATATTGAAATTTCAATTAAATTATTCTGGGCGAAGTTATGCATGTTTGAAGTTTTGACAATAATAGCGTAGTCTCGATTGTCCTTGCCACGATGATAAACAAAGTCTTTCCATTTTAGCGTTAACCGATTAAATGGTGCATCTGTTCTAATACAATTAATATCACAGCCATCGGGTGGCCTAGAAAGTTGATTATGGGCTTGTAAATAAATGTAGAAATAATAATGTATAACATTTGAAGCCAAAAAAGAGACCTACAATGGACAGATTCGACTCTTACATAGTGTATCTTTAAGTTATTGTAAACAAACCCGGCAGTGGTTGAAGAACGAACTGTTTTATACTAAATTGGCGCACGTAACTTGAGTTCAAATAAATCAAGTTTTATATAGATAGAAAAGGAAAAACTTGAGTCTCCGAAATGCGAAAAAATATTGTAAAAATATTGGAAAGAGTAATTATACATGTACTTTTGTTTTAGTGAAAATTAGCATGCTGGACAAATTGTGGATTAAATTTCACATAATGAAATAATTTACGACTTTGTGATAATGAAAGGTCAGACACCCCTATTAATATTTTTACAAACGCCCTACAATGATGTCGATACATTCAGCACGTACTAAAAAGATTTATTTAACTCGACTCTGATGCCATATAATGGAAAACAATTGTTAAATAGAGGAATAAGTGCATTCGGATATCTCTTGACGAAATGAATTCAAATCTAATTAACGTTATAAGAGTTTTAATTCACACCCTATGTGCTTTATCAGACTTTTTACCGCCATGGTCTGGATTTCTGTCCACTTTTATCACAGTTATGCCTCTTACTGCACGTGCTCAATTTATTGGTATTAATAAGCAGACGGCCCATTTTATCTGATGATTTTAGTAAATTATTGAAATGGGGTTTAACGTCCACTCGACACAAACTAGGTCATATGGTTCAATTTTTTTTCAATAATTCGCTTGCGCGTAGGGGTCTTTAGCGGTGGGCGGGAACCGGAGGAACCGGAGAAAATCCACGAGGTTGGACAGACACCTATTCATTGTCACGTTCAACCGTGGAATCGAAACCACGCCAGTTGACTCAATGACAGACCTTATGATACAATGCCACCCAGCCCCCACGTAAATAAAACAGCCAATGAAGTGCCGGAACAAACTGAATGACAAAATGAATCCAGGCGAAATATACATATTTGGAGTGGGTGTGGAACATGGTTTGTTTGTATATCAAATCATTTCGCGTACCTCGAATGATAGCATGTCTTCGATTGGGTACGAAATGGCTGGAAGAAACATTATGACAGAGAAACATTTTAATCTCATACTGGGATTTTGTGTTCATCGGAACCGACCCTTCAATTTTCAAAAATAAAAGCTAACTGACTGGATGAATTCTCTCCCTTCGGCCTTGAATATTTTGGAGAAATACAGGTTTTCTATCGTCACTTTGGTGTATATCTGAAACAGGATTTTACATAAAAACATACTAAATACATGTACATACTACGCTACGTTTTAGTTTTACTGAGATGCAATAGAAACAGTTCTGAGCGATTTTGACAGCAAAACTTTAAGGAAGTAAAAATAGAATAACAAAAACCGACCGCGACTGTATCAAACACCAAAATAACAAGAAAATTCATCACATAAACTATTCGTTTATTTTGTTTGTTTTGTGTGTGTGTGTGTGTGTGTGGTGGGGGGGGGGCAAATACGCAAGGCACAGATAACTTCGCAAGAATCTAAAATAGAGTTTTGCACAATTATTATGACTCCCAATATAATGGCGAGAATAAGCGGCGTAGATATTTTTTGATGAACCGTTCGATAATGTCATCGATATCTAGCTGCATGACCATCCGCCATAGTAGAACCATCTGATGATAAAGGATAAAGCACACGACCGTGACACCTTTCTCTTAAAAAGTAATGTTTTACAATTTTTTTTATGTAGCTGAACAGGGGGTGGAGGGGGTTCTGTCCCTGCCCCATTTGTTCCTTTGTATTAATATTATATATATATATATATATATATATATATATATATATATTATCTACTAGGGGACTAAGCCTGTTCTCCAATTCCATTCACTCATCCTGAATAAAAATATCGGTAACATCTTAATTTCCTTTGCCATTTTGGATAATATGTGCAGTAATCATAATAATAAAGTTTATTCTTTGTTTTGTTTAGCAGTAAGGATACTATGTTTATTTTACCCAACACAATAGCATTGTATTGTCCAAGCTTACAGTAAGGAAACATTAGGCCTATTTGGTTGTTGTTTTTTTTTCGGAAGATTAAGTGGTAATCGCATGTTACAAATTTTAGTTTCTTCTTTGGCTTGGAAATGTCAACGCGTGAGAACATCATGGACAGTATAACTCCATATCACAATACAAATTAACACTAATTGTTTAACAACGCACACTCTTATGCTTTCGGCATATTCAAGAGCGGGGTTTGGTTTGAAACCGATTCAAGGGAGGCAACTCCTATTTGAAATGTCAAGTAGTAGCAATAAGGTTTTTCTTTATATTGCAATGCAATAAAAAGGACAAAAATATGACAGCCTTTCCACAAAGATCTGTCTGACTCAAATACCCCTTTTCATGAATCCAGATGACAGATTGACATCAGATATGATATTCATCAAAGGCAGCTGCCCCACTAAATGTCGTGCAATCTTACTTTTCGGGTAGTCGGGTAAAAATTAACACAGATCTAGATGGCAAAATAAAATGCCCGAAATCTATTTTACTTTCTATTAATTGAATATAGCGAATTTGTACTGAATTGGCTATGGATTAAAACATTTTGTCTAGAGTCACTCGGCTTTGTGCGACATTTTTTCGGGGGCGACGACAATATACGATCACATTTCAATGTTGGCGTATAAAAGTGCAGGGAATATTAATCACCTATAAGTTTGAAAAGAAAGAAAAATACAGGTTGTTTTGGGGTAGGCCTAATTAAAGTTGCGGGTAGGCCTAATTGAAGTTGATTTGGGTAGGTCTAATTAAAGGAGCTAAATCGCTAGTCTTTGCAACTTAGAAATGGACACAAATGTGTCGTAACGCGCATATAATAATGTAATATGAATGTATATAAACTGATTTACATTCCATCGTTTCTGTCTTTACTCTAATTTCTAATCAGTTATGTTCGGCGAAATACGCGAAGAGTTCAAATTGAATGGCATACTTTGGCGTCTGGTTATTCCACTCAACACCGGTAGTATTCTCGAAAGGATTCTGGCTCGATATAAACTATACATATGAGGTCCCTTCTAATTGTAAAATATCTAAATGCACCCAGAGCAGGTGAAAATTATATTTTTATACCAATGTGGTCGTTTCTCTTTTGCTATTTAAATTTGTAAATTTGACAAAAAATTAGTTGTAAGATCTAAGAAATACAGTTGGTTCTGCAGATTAGGCAAACATAACGTCAATTTATCAGTTGCAATAATCTTTCTCCTGTGACACAAGGTGCAATTATATGACATAATTTTAATCTATGATAGTTGCTTGAAGGCTGTAAAAATTATACGTGTACATGAGTCTATTTGTGGTTAAAGGGGGGTAAGTACGGTAAAACTCTTCAAATGAAATCACAAAGAGTCTACTTCCTTATTGAAGTTAGATATAGATTCGATAATAACCTTTCTATGAGATTTTGCGATATGGCTTTGTAAAACAACATCTCAATACTTTCTTTGTTTACAAAAATTGGTACAACATATAGAGTCGAATTAACATTAGTTGGGTTAGGCCTAATATAGTCGATTTGATTGGAATCACACGTCATTGGTATAATGTAAGAACAACAATCGAATATCTAACCAGTGATATACTTCCCAGTTCTTTAGGAAAATTTCATTAGATCTGAAGAATCCAGAAAAATCGTGTCTAGAAGAGTTAGAAGGAAGATATTTTTACGAAGATTCGGGTATTATTTATTGTTCATCTTGTATTTTATAGAATTGTGTAAGTTTTAATTTCCTGACCCGTTCATCGACCACGTCATTTATAACATCGCCATCATCACAGGCTGCAGGCAATCATCACGTCGCAGTCGTTACATGATTACTAGTATGTGTATTAATGCATTGTTACGAGAATAGGCCATTCATATGATCATAGAATATTTCATCCATTATTACCATCATCCTCACAATTACCTAGATGTATACCAATATGTATAACTGATCCAGTTATGAAAATCTGATAATTTTTAAAGCTCCATCACAGGCATAAATTTTTTTATGAACCTTGAGAACGAAAATCAGAATACATTTCGCCCGGGCCCGTATCTAGACACCATTAAAGCGGGGGGGGGGGGGACATTACCTTTCGGTAGGGGGGCGAACATTTTGAGGAAATTTTCGGAAAGGTCATTCTAACAGACTGTTGTAATCATCATGCTATGTAGTTACCTAGGCGTCTAATAAGCATTTTAAAATAAGTATTCAAACAAAAAAAAAATCGTGATTTTTTAAATTTATTTAAAACTATTTTAGATTAGTACAAAAAAAATGGTTTATAAAGTAATAAGATACCGTGGGATTAATATGCGCATAGTCGCCTGAATTATACCTCCTCCTTCTTAGGGAAGCGTAGTTTTTTTTAGGTTAATATAAGGAACTGTGTATACTTTAATGATTGTTAGCAATTTCTGAGCGGGGGGGGGGGGGGGGGGCGAGCATTTCACATGGACCCCCCGCGCCCCCTGTAGATACGGGCCCGATTACGCCATGGCGTTTCTTAGGACAAGAATTATTGATGGACTATTCTTACGACATGGTCAAAGTTCCGGTAGCACATGTGCAAGTCACAGAATGTTGAACTTGATCTCGTCCTAAAGATATTTACGCATTGCCTATTCTTATGACATCCCCTCTTGCAAACAGAAAAATGACACAAGTCCAACATTTTGTAAGTTGCGCAAGTGCTACCGGAACTTCCACAAACGCACAAATTTAAGAACTCAGCCTTATAAGATGAAACGAAATTGAGGTAAGCCTGGGGCGAAAAAATTGGGATTTTTGAAAGAATTTGATTGTAAATTATTGTAATTTAGCTAGGCAAAGCAATAAATCACTGATGATTCTCAACTTTACCTAAATTTTGTTACATCTTATATGGGCGAGTTCTTAAATTTGTGCGTTACCCTTTCAATGATGTCCGCCAAGTCGGTTAGAAGACGGAGACATATTTTTTAACAGCGTGTTGTGTCGCTCATACTAACTCTAGCGAGGTAAGCAAGGTCTTATTTTCTCACTAAGATGTTCATTTATATTGTTCATGCGTTCACAGGGACTGACACGCGACCGTTTGGCTGTAAAAAGTTGCCCAGTAAAATTGACTATGAACCCAAATCTTGTCGACAAGGATTCAATAGAAGAGTCCCTGAACATAGAGGCCGAATATAATGAGACCTACGTTCAGAGCTGAACTACCATGGCATAAGAATAGTCCATGAATAATTCTTATAACCCGTTGTAAGGATAGCTACGGCGAATAATATGATATGGTCAACTATAGGCCTACATGTACCTGCATGGTCAATCCATTAGTTTATTTTATTTGATTCGTTTTGCGACTTTAGTTTTGCGATACAGACTTGAAATAATTTATCTGATTAAACTACAGATCTATATTTCGTTTCGTTTTTTATACTTTCGATGGCCTACACTACATGACGATCTAACCGGTTGTACGCTATGGTTGTGTCAGGGGTCATACGAGTGGCTTTTGACAATATGACGTCAGACATTGATTAATCAATCAGCGTTGATGTTTCTAGTTGTTTACCCACAGTTCCATGCATCGCACGGCAAGAAGTTGCTGCAACAGACTGTTCATTGGGTAATCCCTTACATGAACCGAAATGCAGGTTATATAACAACTCGGTCAGATCCTAGTGTAGTAAAGACAAGTAAAACGAAATTTTGAAGTATGAAAAACGAAACGAAATAGGATCTGTGTTTTAACCAGATTAAAGATCATGTAATTATCAACATATTTTTAAATAGTTACCGGTATACTATTCACTGTTACTACTACTAAAATCATGGTCCTTGTTTTACTTTTAGGTTCTATTAAAGTTAATACCAAATAAATATGGCTGATACTACTACAGATAATGAAAATACCAACAGTAATGCTGGGACGAATAATACAGCTCCCCCACCTACTGGACCTCAAGGCACATCAGTTATTGTAAGTATTGTACTGTTTGTCCGTCTTCTATAAATTTGGTGAGGTTGGATGGCCAAATGGTTAGAGCGTGCACGCCGTATCCTAAGGTCTGTCATTGAGTCAACTGGCATGGTTTCGATTCCCAGGTTGTACGTGACAAGGATAGGGTCGCCTGTCCAACCTTATGAGTTTTCTCCGGGTCCTCCGGTTTCTTCCCACTGCTAAAGACTTCTTATTCAAGTTATTGATTGAAAATTGAACCATGTTAGTCCCAAAATGACCTAGTTTGTATCAAGTGGACATTAAACCTCTTTAATGGAGGGGATCACGTGGCTAAATGGGTAAGACGCTGGCTCGCTAGCCTGGAGGTCGGGTGTTCGATCCCTGCATTGGCCGAGAAAGTTCATCACGATTTTCCGGCGCGGTTTCCCCTTGTCAGTGATGCAGGACGGAGGGCCTGACAAGGACAGCCGTCTAGTCATTCGGATGGGACGAAAAACCGAGGTCCCGTGTACACATTGGCGTGCACGTAAAAGATCCCTTGGCAGTTGGAATTCGATATAAGAGTAGGCCGTAGTGCCGCTGCCTGGGCAAAATTTCCCTCATAGCACACTGTATGGCGTATGCCCGTCTTCATTAGCCCAGGTTAGGAGCAGAACAGTAGGACGTTAAACTCCATTTCATTTCATTTCTTTTCTCTGTAATGGATGATTTTGTTATTTTAGCAACACATGATGGCAAATAAAGTTGATGCAGGCTTGTGGTTAACCAGATTAATAACAGTTGTTTTCACCATATTGTTTATTTTACCTTTATTAGGGTAAGTTTTGAATAAAATAATTACATGTACGACACATAGAAGTAAAAACACTTATATGGATATACTACTTCTGAATTTACTAACATGCTCTATGGTTCGATACACATACAGATATCGTTATCAAGCAAATAAGCTGTTATATGTTTCCAATTGTTATCTATATATTGCACCACATTTTTGTTAAATATCATTATTTGCTTGATAACGATATCTGTATGTGTATCGAAAGCTTTGATATTTTTTTGCATTATAATTACCAGTTTATTTCCACTAAAGATGAAAACGGTAACATATTACTCGTCAAGCAAGGTCTTGTGACCACTATTTGGTGCAATTAGTCGATTAAGTTGGTCAGCACTAGTGATTAAGTTTATTTTGAAAAAAATGTGTTCATTTACTTTTGAGGTGATCAATGGGCCACCCTACCATTGTGTAAATTACATTCTGAAATTCCCACAAGTTTATAAAACTAAATAGAAAATGAAATGGGGTTTATAACATCCTACTGTGCTGCACCAACTCGGCTAATGAAGACGTGGGAGTGTGCTATGAGGGAAATTTTGCCCAGACAGCGGCACTACTGCCAACTCTTATATCAAATTCAAACTGTCAACGATTATTTTGCATGTACACCAATGAGTACACAGGACCTTAGTTTTCTGTCCCATTCAGACAACTATGCTTGTCCCTTGCTATTTCCTCCTCCGTCCTCCACCCAGGGGGGGTGGGGGGTTGGGTGGTTGAATGGGTAGCGTGTGCACATTATATCATAAGGCCTGTCATTGAGTCAACTGGTGTGTCAATTCACCGGTTGAACATGACAAGGAGTAGGGTCGCATGTCCAGCCTCATGGGTTTTCTCCTGGTCCTCCGGTTTCCTCCCACTGCTAAAGACTCCTATGCGCAAGCAAATTATTGAAATAAAATTGAACTATATGTTAGTCCCAAAATGTTAAACCCCATTTCTCTCTCGCTCTCTTTATTCTATAATTAATGTGAAATGAAATTTAGTTAATTATTGTAAGTTGTTATTTTTTTCAGGGGTGATCCTTACAGTTTTTATCAGAGAGCTTTAATCAGCTGTGCTGCCTCTAGTGCTTTAAGATTACATCAGAGAATTCCAAATTTCCAGCTTAGTAGAGAATTTCTAGGACGACTATTTTTAGAAGATAGTTGTCATTATTTGGTTTATGCCATTTTATTTATAAATATATACCCTATCACTAGTATCCTTTTAACTACATGAAAATATAAACTACTAATTGTTGAATTACCATATATATATAACAACAACTAGCTTCCCACTGTCATGCGATGCGTTGCAATAGGATTGTCCCTATTGAGTCCACGATGACGTATCGGATACGTTTTGATCCGATTAACACAATTTTTATGAATGTCCTCAATATATGATAAGACGTGATAGGATCACCATGATTAAAACCACGATATCAATCGCAGCACGAATCGTGATAGGGGGAAACTAGCATAATAGAATTGTGTCCCATTTAATTACATCTATTTCTATTTCATGCATTCCTATTTAAAAACATGCATAATTATTATTTTGTCTACCTTAACAAGATTCAGTGGCTTTGATTCCAGCATTTTTGTTTGCTCTTCTTCATGCGTGTAGCTACACAAAAACCATTTTAAATGTAAGTTTAATTCCTTTCAGTTTTCCGGTTGTACGTGACAAGGAGTAGAGTCGTCTGTCCAACCTCATGGGTTTTCTCCAGGTCCTCTGGTTTCCTCCCACTCCATTTCTCTCTCTCTCTCTCTCTTATACACAGATAAATCTATTATAGTAGTTATACACAGATCAATCTATTATAGTAGTTATACACAGATCAATCTATTATAGTAGTTATACACAGATCAATCTATTATAGTAGTTATGCTGCTGATTATAAATTTGTTGGATTTAGTAATTTTTGTCTTTAAATGGAAACAAATTGGATTATAACAGGACAGAATGTTGATTTTGTTTCTGTATTGTAGTTAATGGGACCACAGTCAATGATGTTTTTGCGTAATATGATCGCCAAGTTAGAACAGCAACAACTTAATGTACTCCGATTTATTGCCTGTAATGAGATCTTTTTAATGCCAGCTATTATTATACTGACCTTCACGTAAGTTTTTTGACTTGATTTACCAGCCATAGTATCGTAATTTCAGGGTTTATGGATGATTTAGCATGTCTTTATGCATAAGAATGATTGTCATGTGTAAATGCCACTGCCCTTGCAATAATCTTCCGGCATGGTTTCAGTGGTGCAGGACGAAGGATTGACAAGGACAGCTGTCCAGTCGTTCGAATGGAACCGAAAACCGGTTTCCCGTTTATACATTGGCGTGCACATAAAATAACTCTTGGCACTTGGAACTTAATTTGATATAAGATTAGGCCGTAGTGCCGCTGTCTGGGCAAAATTTCCCTCATAGCATACTGTATGGCATATGCCTGTCTTCATTAGCCCAGTAGGACGTTCGTTAAACCTCATTTGATTTGATTTTGTTTTATTTGTTTCAGAGGAAAAGCTAGTTTATTTATGCCATTTGTATATTATCGTTTCTTATCAATGAGATATGCATCCAGAAGAAACCCATATTGCAGGTAAAATAACTTTACACATAGTATTATAAGATATCATTTCTAAATATAAATACTAGGACAATTTATTATTATTCCAAAATGACAAGAGGTAACTAGACTCTGCTGGACCAGGTAGCATTGGTGGTAAAATAGTTTCAATTTGTGTAATGAATTTAAATGTTGATATGCCCAGTGTTTCATTGATAAGTTTTCCCGCTGTTTTGAAACTAGTAGCACAACAATGAAATGATTTTTACAAAGTTAATACCCGTCACCAAAAACTTGTAAATACAGTTCAGAGTCTGGAGGTTTTTTCAAACTTTCTGGGATTGATTGATTAGTCCTCAGGAGGAACCCTATCGAAGTGGCCATCAATTTTATGCATAGTTATTTCCCTTGTCTCTCAGAAATGGAAAAGCCATCCTTCTAAGTACTTTGGAGGGGAGGGGGTTGGATGGCTGAATGTCTGTCATTGAGTCAGCTGGCGTGGTTTCAATTCCCCGGTTAGGAGTAGGATCGCCTGTTCAACCTCTTGGGTTTTTTCCAGTTTCCTCCCACTGCTAAAGACCCCTATGCGCAAGCGAATTATTGAAATCAAATTGAATCATTTGTTAGTCCCAAAATAACCTGGTTTGTCCCGAAATGACCTAGTTTGTGTCGAGTGGATGTTAAACCCCATCTCTCTCTCTATTTCAAAAGTTATCTGCCTACCTTGTGTCAATGCCGTTAAACTTATGGACACAAATTCCAAATTTTATCTATTTGCATAAGTTTATGTTTAATTTTATTTTTTATATTTACAGGACATTGTTTTCTGAATTAAAACTAACCATAGAATATTTGTGTGCGAAGCCCCAATGTCCCGAAATTGTTAAGACTGGGTTGTATAAATGTATTGCCTTGGTTGCAAGACTGGCACCGCAACCTGATACTGCTCAGTAATCATTTCCATCAAGTAGGCATGAATGCGTCTAAATCACCAAGACATCATTGTCACCAAAATGTACATTTATACTATCATATATACACATTGGGGGTGCTCAATTGTCAGTCCGGAGTCTCGAATTGACAGAATTGCAATCAAGTGATACAGAATTCAGCCATGTCACAGTTCTGCCAGTCCCAACAGCTGAGGTGGTGTGAGTAGAATCGTGATGTATTTTGAGTAACAAATATGTTTCAGCTGTCATGATTGGTTGAGATATTTTTTATGCAGTCGGCACATGCGTTGTAATCCGAAATTCTCCTTTTCACTCGATTGACACTATTTTTGGAATTGAGAGAATTTGATTCCGGAACATTCAATTGAGTATCCCCAAGGTGATGTAACTATCACTAGCTCCATCTGATTTTAGAATTATTATATAAGCACCATATATTTGTGTATGGTAGGATTCTATAAGACGTCTTGGTGATCTAGACTAGCTAAAATATTGCCATATAAGGGTATAAAAGCTTAGTAAAGTTTCAACTATTGATTGTACTGTGGTTGTGCTAAAGTAAGTACAGGTTTGGAATTTAAGTGGCAGGAATTTTTTTAACACCCACGTTTCATTGTTGGAGGGTATATTGTTGTCGGTCAGTCCGTCCAAAATTCTTGTAAACGCTCTACAGGTCAGAGATTATCAAATTTATTGGGATTGTTCCGACAAGTCCTAGGGAGCAACCCTATCGAAATGCAGAGTTGTGCAAAATGGTTGCTGAGTTACTGACCCTGAAAACGCTTTACAGGTCATAGATTATCAAATTTATTGGGATTGTTCCGACAAGTCCTAGGGAGCAACCCTATCGAAACACAGAGTTGTGCAAAAATTGCTTTCTGAATGCTGAATTACTGAGATTAATTTTTTAAACTTGCAGGGATTGTTTGGGTAATCAGTAGTCAAAAGTCAAAACCATATCAAATTTTATAGTTTCACAGTCAATTATATACACCAAGTTATTGCCCTTCTCACTTCAACTTTGTAAACGCTATACAGGCCAATTATTCATCTGGAGAATTTATGCTTGCGTTGTGCTTAAATATTCAACCGAGTTATTGCCCCTGTCACGAAAGAGAAATCCATAAGAGTTCATCAATTCTATGTGTAGTTATTGCCCCTGTTCTGATAACTAAATAGCCAACTTTCAAAATGTTGCTGATGGTTGTATATTCGAAATGTTTACCTTTAAAAAAAAAAAAAATTTTAATTACAGAATTCACTTATTCAGTGTTGTACAAATTTTAGCAGCATTTAAACAGTATAATTTTATCAATCTTTGACACTAGAAAATTGTAAGATCGGGCAAATGTCAATGAAAGTTTTTTTAACTGTCAAAAATGAGATAGTTGTCAAACAACATACTGATCAGCAGTGAATAATCGCTAGGCTGCTACAGTCACTGATAAGGATGACATTGATGCAACATAATGGGCCCCAAATATTAACTTTTTTCCTCCGTCAAATTAAATTCTAAAAAAAAAATTTATGTATTAGAAAAATAAAGACGTTTGAAGTATATGTAGGTAAAAATTATTTCCTATTTAGTGTAAATGTGTATTAAAATGAGTAAAAGGCAGCATTCTGCCTGAACCAGTAACGTCGTATGTAAACAATGCACACGCCATTGAGCCAATGATTGACACCAAGTGATGCGATGTCACGTGTTGAAGACAGTCATCTTTTACAGAGATATTAGAAGACTTTAGTAATCCTCTGTGAAACAGATTGGTCAAACAACATATTAGCATAAAGGATTTTATTTCAGTTTGATTAAAATGTACATTAAATTATTGGACTGAACTTACCAGTCTTGGCATCTATCAGGATTTATAGACATTGATCAGGATCTCTTCTGATATTGGATAAATAATTATTGTTTATTTATAATTTTGTACATGTAGTTCTATATTAGATGTGTGTATATATTGAATGGTATTTTTAAGAATAATAAAAACTCTTAAATAATATGTTAAAACAGAGCTGTCTATCAAAGTTATCACTTGCATAATGTTTTTTAATGATATTTTTTCGAAGATTTGAGTTAAATATTGTCGTGCAATGATGAATGAATAAAACTGGTATTTATGTAGATCTTGTGAACATGTGAGTTTGCTTTTCATCATCATTTTTTTAAATTTTCACATTTTAAAAATTCCCTTTTTCCAATCCTTCATATTCACTGCATTTTAGGAATGTTTTTTTTTTGTTTGTTTGTACAAACTAATATTATAGTTACTTGTACATCACGAGGCATAAATTACATGGACTACTTTTTAAAACTATAATCTTCTTTACTTAAATATGGTATGTTTGATAATCTGGACTGATATGGTCTTTTCTTTACAAGCCACTGTCTCCGGTAAGACACCATATGTTTGACGAAATACTCATTAAAATACACATCTATATTTCGTTTCGTTTTTTTATACTTTCGATGGCCTACACTACATGAAGATCTGACCGGTTGTAGTGGAAGGTCGCATCAGGGGTCATACGAGTGGCTTTTGACCCTTTGATTAACCAGTCAGCATTGATGTTTCTAGTGGGTTCCCACAGTTCCCTGCACCTCACACCAAAATCCGTCTGTAACAGACCTTTTCATTGGCTAATCCTTCACATCATCTAAAAGGCGGGTTATATAACAACTCTTCTAGATCCTAGTGTAGTAATGACAAATAGAACGAAATTTTGAACTATAAAAAACAAAACAAAATAGGATCTGTGTTGTAATCAGATTGTATTTGTGTCAAGGTATGTTCCAGATTACAAGAAGTAGAATGTCAGATGATTGTTTACAAAGTATTTTTGGATGGAAATATATAAAACATTTAATTGTATGTGAGCACTGACTTCATCTTTCAAGACATGTAGTTTTTTCATAGATAGATATCATTTGTATGTATGTAATAATTATGGTGGAATAAATGTGATTTTAAAAATATAAATCTGCCTTTAGAATACACCACTTCCTATTATAAGCATTCTTTCAGTGGACCCTGTAATGACCAGTATAATGGGTAGAAAAATATGTATTGCTAATCCAAGAAACTTATTGCGAAAATTTAAATCACTTCAGTCTATAACTTAAAATCAGAGAGGGAGCTGCCTTCTTAAATTTAAGATTTTAAGTTACAAGCAATTTTACATATTGTTTATGAAACTGTATGTAGGCTACATAAGACGAAAATATGGACCCATCTGGTTTAAGTGTAGGATGGGGGGGGGGTGGATGACGGAATGATTAGCACGTGCGCGCTGTATCATAGAGTCTGTCATTGAGTCAACTGGCGTGGTTTCGATTCCCAAGTTGTACGTGACAAGGAGTAGGGTCAACTGTCCAACCTCGTGGGTTTTCTTCGGGTCCTTTGGTTTCCTCCCATTGCTAAAGACCCCTACCCGCAAGCGAATTGTGAAAATAAAATCAAACCATATGTTAGTCCCGAAATGACCTAGTTTGTGTCGAGTAGACGTTAAACCCCATCTCTCTCTTTAAGTGTAGGATAAAGCACCAGACTTAAGTTAGGGTGGGGAACCAAAGATTGAAGAAAATAACCCGCGAAAAAGAAAAAATCAAGACCAGCAGGCTGAGGTTTTCCTTTCAAGGGCTTTATATGTTGCTTATAAGCCGTCTATGTTTTCATGCACGTAAAATGAGAATATCCCAGAATTCCCGTAAGAAAACACTTATATCATGTTTTCTTATGAAAAAACCCCAACCCTACCCTGGAAAAATAACACGTTACAGATTTAATGAAAAACTTTCAGAAGAATAACCCCAAATTCCCCGGTATATATTCAAGGCCGCCCCCAACTTTCAGACCGCAAGTTATTCCAACCATAGAATATACCCTAAAGATCAAAGAGATTTACCGTTATAGGTTTATAATCATCTTGAATTACATACCCGATTCCTGAATCATGATTGTTACAATGAAAGAAGTGTATTTTGGATATTTGAAAAGCGAAAGTTTCAAGTTACCAATGTATAAACCCGAGCATGTCAAATCAATTTCTTTTTCTTTTTTTAAGTATAGAATTCCTAAAAGAAATATTTTTTTTTAAATGTACCTCTGGACAATTGGATGAAATTGTTCAATAATGGTAGACGTCTCCGTCCAGTTTCAATTCCCATAACTACAACCCCCTTTGGTCTATCTTTCACCTTTATCCTATAAAATTGTCCAAAGCGTTATCGATAAACCAACCAAGAGGAAAGTATTTCATATTAAAAAAAAGTATCAAGTCATTTCTTGTCCACACATGTCGATATTTAAGGATACAAAAAAAATCCATTGACTTTACCGACAATATTTGACATCAATATGAATAACCGTGAATTTATTGTCGGCATTTTCAACAAAAAACAAATTCGGCTCAGAAGTTGTAACATACCTTCACTTTTAATTGTAACATACCAGATGTTACACTAAAGCATGTTTCAATACGGAATACTCGATCGGGCCTTTATAAAGGTGTCAATATAAAATTATACAAAATGGAGAGTTGGAAGGTGGACATTTTCAAGGGGAAACATTAATATTTTGAGAATTTAACACACCCTGGATGTGGTTTGAATGTTTTTTCTCCCACCACACACACCAATTACAGTACACACTATGCCACTAAATCACCCAATGTCATTTCCTAGCCGACATAGTTTGTGAATCATCTTTTATTTGGTCGATATGGTAATTCTAACAATTTTTTTTTATAACCTTTTGGAGGCATTTAGTAACTGAAAGAGCAATAAACTATATAACGGAAAACAGCTACTAAGTTTATTGATGTGTTCTTTATAATTTGTGATAGCTGTCCACAACTTCGGATGATCATCTTCTTTTAAAGCCCAAATATTCAAAACTGTTAACTTTTGGGTCAAAGATCGTTTAGCAGGGGCACTTTCAGCAGTAAAAAAGGGCACTGTCGAAAATCCGCCTCTGTTTAGTGTTAAAGCATCAGCTTTATGGAATACGTTACGGTATGCTATCAGGTCCTGTAATAATGTCAATACTTTTAAGAAAAAACTTAAAACCCATTTATTTCTTCAAACTTTTTAAATGTATATATCTTTCAATTTATACTTATTCTTGTGTTGTCTTAGTATTTTATTGTTAATTTTCATGATTTTATAATTTTTTATATTTGTACCATTAAAAGCACCTCTGAACACGTGAATGTGAAAGAGGGGCTATAACAAATGTTTGTAATAATAATACTATATATATATACAGCAAGAGAATTACTATTATGTGTTAATTTATCCATGCTGCCAACTAAAACATAAAATAAACAGAGTATTATATAAGCAGTTGTTATATAACGCTGTTGTTTATAATTAAACAAAACATGTGTATCAATTATCTTCTTTTGTCTATCTATTGTCACTTTAATGCGTTGTCCATTAATACGAGTATTAATTATTTAATTAACTGACAACACAATTCATATGAAATACAATCACTGGTTTATACACATATTGCACGACGTTTCGACAAGTATTCTCTTATCGTTATCAAGTACATATGTTGTGTTTTTTAATGTGCCCAAACGCTAAATGCCACTCAAGGATTATAGATATTAAATGTTTGATACTTTAGAATAATGTTGAGAAAATGTAGGCCTATATATTGGCGATCCCCAACAGAAGATGGGTGTTTCTCTATAGAGTTCTGGTGAAAGTGTGTGAAATAGCTTTATTTAACGTCCGCTTCCACCGAAGTGATATCGCAGACAAGTTCTGATGAAAGATTCTTATGACAATTATGTACCGGTTTGCCACGGTATGGCTTTAAAATTTTGTGTTTGCTGACTTAAACATATCGCCGTTTATTCGACAAATAATTTAGTGCATGCGCTATTACTAGCTAGATGCATGTATACCGTATTTCATGTTCTTTCCATTTCAAGGGTTGTTACACTGGTTTTTCATGAAATACGTGTAATCTATTATTAGACTCTACTAACCTATAACTACAGTATAGTAACAGAGGAAAGATATTTCCTCTCACTGGAAATAGTTTTGCTGAGTTATTCGAAATCTGTCTCATTCATTGTGTGAGAAGGGATTTAGGCTACTTCACATTTAGAATATTATAACAGCCGTTTACAGAGACTAAAAGTGCTTTATATAATACTAGTGCACTAAGGATATTATATTGTAGGCTTACTGGTTTTCCATTTTGTCAAGGCATCTGTGTAACCAAAGGCCGATTTAAGACATATCACATTTCACAACAGTGGCAGACATCTTGCCAACGTGGAAGAATAATGGTGGAAGTTTGAGAACTCTTGAAGCGAAGATGTCCATGTGTTTGGTCAGATATACATTTAAGTTTTTTGTGCTGTGGTTAAGTTATATCTACTTAGCAAAATGCAAACCACAGATGCCTGTAGCAGAACGTAAGAATATTTTGGTTTTTGGTGGAAATGGCTTCATAGGATCGCCGGTAGTTAATAGGCTGTTGGCCGCCGGCCATAACTGTACTTTAATCAACAGAGGGAATTGGTATTGGGATTCCTGGACCAAGATCAGACCATACGTTAGACACATTAAGTTTGATCGTATGCAAAAAATAGCTAAATGCTCTCCATTAATAGAATTACTACAAAATAACGAAACATTTGATGCGGTGATTGATTTTAGTGCTTATCATGAATTTGCTGTAGAGGAGGCGTTATCAGTATTGAAAGATCATGCCCAGCTGTATATTTTTATAAGTTCCGATTCCGTTTATGAAGTCTCTTTAAAGAACCATTCGAACCCCTCTGTGGAATCGGATTCCGTTCGACCAACCGATGAGAAAAAGAGACAAAGATTGGCAAATATCGATGATTATGGACATAGGAAATTAGAAATTGAGGAACTATTAAAACACCAACGAAAAGATGGCGGTATTCCATTTATTGCGTTACGTCTGCCAGATGTAGTGGGACCACGTGACAATACATATCGATGGTGGCTGTATCAATCATGGATGAGATTACAAGAATATCTGGACAAGAAAGTTTCCATTCCGTCCTATCTTTCCAATCACCTATTAAGTTTTGTTTATAACCACGACGTGGCCAAGTTGATAGAAAAATTAGTCAGTAGTGATGTCGACCCCGATATCATTGACCAAGCTTATAATCTTGCTTTCAGAGAAACCTTTACATTAAGACAATTTTTACTCGACATAAAAAGTACACTGAACATAACCGACTTAGATATAAAGGAAGACGACGACCCTGATGCATTTCGTTTGTTTCCGTCCGTCACTCTTGGTCCGATTAATATCTCAAAAGCGCGGGAAAAGTTGAACTGGGACCCCACACCGTGGAAAACAGCTTTAGTAGATACAGTCAAGTTTTACGAATCAGCCATAACTAGACCGGAATTTGACGTGCCAAGGCGAGACATTATTCGATCGCTTCAAATATATTTTTCAGATCGTCCATTCAAAGTGTTAATCGGTTTTAAGAGAGAATATGGAATTGATTACCCCAAAGATGAATTGTGAGCCAATATCGGGGACATTTTATAATTATTAACATAACAATAGTACCAATAACATCCACACACAATTCGTCTAAAGGACCCTTTTGGCTCCATGTGTAGCTTCAGATTAGAAGAGTTTTACTGTATTTAGGCCTATATTTCCATGAAGAAGCTTTTATGATATGTGATAATGAATAAAGTTTGTAAATTGATCAAGTGTTTTCTGTCTTTTATAACAATATAAATGATACATATTTAGATATGGCTAAATCCAGGCCCGTAGCCAGAGGGGGGCCAGGGGGGGGCAATGCCCCCCGAAAAAATGTTTTGCCCCCCCCCCCCCCCCCCCCGAAAAAAAAATTGCCGATCATAGCTCTAAAATACCTACTGTAGACTGTGCCCCCCCCCCCTAAAAACTTCACTGCCCCTCCGAAGCTAGCAAGCTGGCTACGGGCCTGGCTAAATCTATTTGTTAATGCCAGCTCAATTTTCGTCAAGGTCGCTGAGATGTAAAATAGATTAGGGCACGTGATTCTTGGCGAGATTGTAGGTTAGGGTTAGGGTAAGCATTGGGGTTAGGGTTGGGATTGGCGCTAGCCCTGTTTACATCCCGTTACCTTTGACCAAACTTGAAGTTAGCCTTATCAAATAGATCTAACCATTTAGATATAAAGAGAGACTAGACTGTTATTTCCTCCGCGTGATGATACGGCATAATACCAAATATGACGCTAGATGAAATGATTAACATGGAGGTACACACAATAAAGAAACATCTATCCACAACCCTGGCAATTAATTTCCATTCATTTTCTAAAGCCTGTCCTAATTCTTCGTCTCTTCTGGATTGACAGACTTCGGCATAGACATCTTGTACTGCATTCAGAAATTCTCTCCTCGAATGCAGACTCGAGCTATTATCCAAGTTAGCAATGCTTTTCATTAGTTTTACCGTACTCTTCGCGGTACGTACATTCATGAGATGCGCTGACGATGTGGTTGGTCTTGAATCCCGACTCTCTACCGAATCGCATAGTTTGATTGTTGGACAAATCGGATTATCTGACAGCTCTCGACTGTCAGTTTTTAACGGAAGGCTAAACGACTGATTGACTTGTAACGGTAAAGAACAACGGGATTCTTGTTTAATGTCTTTAGTTTCGTCTTCAATTTCCACTTTAATTTCCACTCTTTCCCTGGATTCAGTCGTTTCTGCATTGGGATCGGCGCCACATTCATATTCGGGGGTAATGGAGTTCACCCTTTTTACACGTTTCTGTTCTAGGCACAGCCATGGCGCTAACAATTGTAAACATATATATCTCAACCAATCAGGAGGCTTGTTATATTCAGTTCGGTGATGTAAATTTAGCACAAACACAGAAACAGTAACAGAAAATGTTGAAGCTCCCATAAAACATAACATGTAGATTTCTGTAACAAGAAAAAAAAACAAGATTAACCCGTTTAAAATATTTCCAAAAACGCTAGAACTGTTCAATTAAAAATATTTAGAACTCCGATTAAACTAAAAAATCCCGCTGCTTATGAGAAATAATCGCAAGTACAGTTGTGTATTTTAATCCATCTCAGAACAGAGCCGAGCGTGAAACATGTTAATATTATGCTGCCGTGTGTGTGAAATGTCGAGGCACGCACGGCAGCCATAAAAACACAAACGATATAAATTAAAGCAGGGCCCGCGACAGAGCCATCCGAGCCCTGGGACAAGGAACTTGGCGAAGGAAGGCCCAGGAGAGGCGGGGGTGGGGTGTCGATACGGCGTGCATGATCATTGGCCGGGCTCATTATCATTGTAGCATTGTACAGGTTTGGACTAGGCACTGATTACCTGTCGGGGTCCGGATACCCTGGTGGTGACGATAGCGTTAAAAGAAATGCGGACGACCCGGGGCCCCGCGGCTCTATGGCGCAGGTGGCTTACAGTTTTAATTCACCAATCTTTCCCAAAAAGGTGAACTGACAGATTGCGATTCTAATCCTACGACCCCACTAGGTACCCACATTCAGAAAAGTCACCGGTTTTATCTACTTTACGATCAAGTAACATTGTATTCTTTTTATTAATTTTACCAACAATTTTCTTTTAAAACATTAATGGGCATAACTCCGGGCTCCTATGAGCTCCGGGCACCTGGACACGTTTCCCAGCTGTTCCCCCTCTCACGGGCCCTGAATTTAAGCATTAAGCATGTGTTCGAACCTTTGCACAAGCAAATTTAGCGCGCCTTCATATAAAGTAAACATTGAATGAGATTACTCTACAATAAACAGGAACATAGTATCCTTACACCGAAAACTGGCGCACGGCAATTTAGTGAGTGTTGAAAGTACAGGCTTACAATGAGAGAGGGGGGAGAGATGAGGTTTAACGTCCACTAGACATAAAGTAGGTCATTTCGCGAACAGCATATGGTTCATACTCCTTGTCACGTACAACCGGGGAATTGAAACCACGCTAGTTGACTAAATGACAGACCTTAAAATACAACGCGCACGCGCTAACCATTCGGCCATCCAACACCCCCGGCTTCCATTGAACAGAAGACTCAATTGATAATAACATCCTGCAAAAAGATGATCTAAATATGATAAGACACAGACATAGCGTATGTTACCCCCAAATTAAACTTCTCTGTGTGATTCGGTCCACCGCTAAACATTACAAGGAGGCAAGTGCCAAATTAAACTTACCTAACAAAGGTGTTGCATTAGACGATGTGGGCATCTCCTCAGCTATCATCAGTTGAAACACGGAAAATGACAGCAACACAGTTACGCCAAGAGAAATCTTTTCGCCGGCATCGGGAGGCAAATAGAACACCATCAACACCAGAATAGACATCATTAAACACGGTATCATAATGTTGATAAAATAGTACATAAATTTACGACGGATATGGAGTTTAAAATTCACTTCTGGATAGGACAATTCTGGACAGCACTGATAGACAAAGGCAGACGAATAAACCTTAGTGTATTCAATCGTCCATTCGCCATTTTTTGAATAGTTTTCTAAAGCAACCACGTGACTTCGGTTTCTTAATAATACTTGGTCTTTAGTGTATTGCCAGTTACCGAAACTTAGTTCACAGGTCTGGTGGTCAAACGGGTAATATGTGATATCTATTGGACAGGCTATACTGAAGACACCACCTGGTTCCCAAACAACTCTACCATTACTGTAGATAGACACGCGAAATAATTCGACAAACTCACTCTTGAAAATATCATCGACACTAAAAAAATATAAAAAAAAACATTTGTTAAAAATGTTATAGTTATACAGCGCAATAAACAGGTCCGACAATCAAGGTAGTAGCATTATTTCAATGCTTTTATTAATACGCTAGAGCTTGTTCATTATATGCCTTTTCGATAGTATCTGCAAATACTACATGTAATTTGTAATTATAAAGCTAAATATTTTGTGGGCATTTCACCAAACATTACAAATCTCCTTTATTAGATTTCGAGAGGGAGATAGAGAGAGATGGTTTAATTTTATTTCAATAATTCGCTTGCGCGTGGGGTCTTTAGCAGTGGGAGGAAACCGGTGGGCCTGGAGAAAACCCACGAGGTTGGACAGGCGACCCTACCCTACTCCTTATCATGTACAACCGGGGAATCGAAACCATGCCAGTTGACTCAATGACAGACCTTATGATACACCGCGCACGCGCTAACTATTCGGCCATCCAACCCAGCTCATTTCTACGAACCTGGCTTATAATAGGGGGTGTCACGTGGCTAAGAGGGTAAGACACTGGCTCGCTAGCTTGGAGGTCGGGTGTTCGATCCCTGCATTGGCCGAGAAAGTTCATCCAGATTTTCCGGCGTGGTCTCCCCTTGTCAGTGAAACAGGACGGAGGGCCTGATAAGGACAGCTGTCTAGTCGTTCGGATGGGACGGAAAACCGAGGTCCCGTGTACACATTGGCGTGCACGTAAAAGTTCCCTTGGCAGTTGGAATTCGATATAAGAGTTGGCCGTAGCGCAGATCCCGGGCAAAATTTCCCTCATAGCACACTGTATGGCGTATGCCCGTCTTCATTAGCCCAGTTTAGGAGCAGAACAGTAGGACGTTAAACCCCATTTCATTTCATTTCATTTTATAATATTGAAGTAGAATAAGCTTATATTGGTACCTGTTTCCTAATGAGATGTCTGGAATCCACACTCTATTAGCTGGAATAACTATACTAGATACATTATTATAATCATCAGGATCCCACTTCAAAAAATCGTCGATCCATTCCTGTAAATAGGTAAGTTATTATTTAAATTAATGCACAGTCAACATGGTTAATAATATCACTTTCAATTAACAACAATCATAGCCTATAAATCAACAAATCGACCCGGCCGAGTAATTTAGACAGTAAAGACCAACCGCGGGATGGTTTTGTGTGAACTTAACACGAAAGAAAGTTTTAATAATATACAGTCCAAGGAGATATGGGCATGCCCTTTTAGGTAGGGGGGTGGGGTGGATGGCCGAATGGTTAGCGCGTTGTATCATTAGGTCTGTCATTGAGTCAACTGGCGTGGTTTTGATTTCCCGTTTGTACGTGACAAGGGGTAGGGTTGCATGTCCAACCTCGTGGGTTTTCTCCGGGTCCTCTGGTTTCCTCTCAATGCTAAAGACATGCAATGTAAATGGATGCACTTCCCGAATTTCAAACCGGGCAATGATGGTATCAACGATCGGACATGAAATTGACTGCGGTATTATTGTCGTGTAGATCGCTATAGACTTTAAAGATCAAAGCATAGGTGTTGAATTATTATTAAGTTGAAAGTGGACGTCCTAAACATCTATTGGTAGAAGTAGATTTGATATCTATACATACCGCATAAAGCCAACCTGTTACTGTTAATGACTGCTTACGGAGATTCTGCGAAAGAGAACATAATAAAAGAAAAGCAAAAAGTACAAATCTTCAAAAAAATTAAATTCAAAAGATTAAATATTTTTACTATTGTTGTCATTCTGGAAGTGCATTGGCGATAAAAATAGCCACCAGCACCCAATAATTCTTCCGTAAAGGTACACCATTTTGTTTCGCTACGATGGCATGTTCGCAGCCACGGCATTAAAATTAAAATAAACAAAATTAATGACATGTTTGCAAATCCTCAGTTTAAATTGAGGAAAGAGGCATTGCTGATATGTGTTATCGTCTCCTGGTGTGTCAACTGCCGAGTACAGGTTATTGGTGCTTTCCTGTCTGGTTTCTGTTTGTTACAGAGAATCCTGGAACACTCCCCTGTTTGGTCTCTGTTTGTTACAGAGAATCCTAGAACACTTGCCACTTTAGTCTTTTAAAGTACGACTTGCGGGGATGGAACGTCCAGGGTTGGATTAACCAGTGAGCAAAATATGTTCGTGCTTAGGGCATCATTCATGGAAATGGGGGCACCACAGAATTTCTGCTTTGTTACAATTAATTTAGAACTTTTAATTAGTTTTTCATTGTTTTTGTCTTTTCTTACTGTTACCTGTTTTGTCGCAATTAATACTGACGTGTATGAAAACCTAGACAAACTCCAACCATGAGCTTGGTGGTTGTTTATTTAATATTGTTTTGAAGTATGTATACATACATTATTACATATATATATGGGGGCAAAGAAATCGTTGAAGTGCTTAGGGCCTCTGTGGACCTAAATCCGGCCCTGGGAACGCCCAACATGTTCGTTTGATATAAATACCTTATATTAGAAATTGTTATTTGTGTCTATACCTGTGTAACAAATTGAGAAAACCCACCCTTTTGCCCCGTACTCCGACCCGTAACCAAAAAGTTGAGATCCCCATACTTATGTTTAAACTACTAAGTACTTACCAATTCATCAAGACGTGTCAAAAAGAAATCTAATGTAACGCCAACACTTTCTGAACTATTCATTCTTGGTCGAGCTGTGGGTGTGTAATTTTGAAACAAGTTGTTTATTAACACACCTTCGTGGCTTCCTTCTGAAGTGAGAATGGATGAATTAAATGGGGCTTACGTCCATTTGTAATAATATTGCTAGAATTTTTGCTCTTGAAATTAAGGGGAGCAGTATATTTCATTAATTAATATCTTTGGTGGCAAGTTATTAAATTCACATATATGTAGAATTGTACTAAAATCAACTTAGTGAGTGACAGTTGACACATAAAAAGAGTTACAGAACCAAAACGTAGCTCGCTGTATGTGTCAATAAAATACCACGAGATTACACGCGAGTGGAAATATTCTAATTGCATCATTTGGCTTAATTTAACCAATCATATCAGAAATTGCACAGGTTCAGGGCCATGAACAGGCTTTCTGTGCGTGATATGCATGAGCTCTATAAAAGAAATCATAGTAAACTTTTAAGTCAGACTTTCATTATTTTCCGGAGAGATTACCATCTGAGTGCAGTTTCTATCAGCAGACTCGCCCAACGAGTCTGGCTGAATGAGGTTTGAGAGAATGACTTTATTCTATTATGCATTGTGCCATATGTAAGCAGTTATATGATATATAAGATGTAAAAACGAACTGTAGCATTATTATTCCTGGAAAGACAAACGTCTTAAGAAAACAGTAAGTAAATACACAACGTGAAGCAGAAGTAAAGACAGCTAGAGGCAAATTCTAGACGATCACAAAGCTACAGAAATATGTAGTAAGAAAAGATGCATGGGTCGTACGTAGGATGTGGCGACCGGTTTTCCCACGCCCGCTCTCCACGTCTGACGAAAGGCCCATGGTGCTACACACTTTACAATCCCAAGCAACTACTTCCAGCAGGATGGGTTCGGTAAGAAATCACTCGGACTCTACAACATGCAAGTCTATGGTAAGAAATCACTCGGACTCTACAACATGCAAGTCTATGAGTATGAGTGAGTGGGGGATTTAATCACCGTAGAAGTATTGATTACCGAAACATATAACAAATACTTTATTATATTTTTTTAAAATTATTGGGTACTAGGCCTACTTTTACATGACCAATGAGGATGTGTGGTCGTCAAAACCTGTTCATGTGAATCAGTGTGAGCTTTCATACAATCCTTAATACTACAGTGCAAAATATAAGGACTGGCCTTATTATGCACTGTTAACGGAAAGGGGACAATTTTTTAGGAAAAAAAAGCTTTGGGGGGGGGGGGGTCTAAGTGGGAATGACTCTGGCTTGCTAGCCTGGAGGTCGGGTGTTCGATCCCTGCATTGGCCGAGAAAGTTCATCCAGGTTTCCGGCGTGGTTCCTCCTTGTCAGTGAATGAGTGATGCAGGACGGGGGGCTTAGTAACGTTCTAAAATTAAAATGAAAAATGCGATGAAAGCGAAAGCGAAATGAAACTTTGAAAGCGAAAATCGCTGATCAGTGATCAGTTTCCAAATTCTATGCTGGAGTTGATCGATCACTCTATACAGCTCATCTGCAGCAAGATCGCAGGATTCTTCCTCTACAGTGCACTGTCGATTGCAACCGAGTGTGGTTCGTAAATCGGCATACAGTGAAGTAAATAAACCCTACCCAGTTTACCTAATGAAAAGGGTCGTCAATCAAACAATACGTTTTTCGGTCTATTTTATCTTCAAGCTTTAGAAAAGATGCCAAAAGCGAAGAGTCCATTAATTAGCTCACCTACATATTGTGGAAATATATAAATATACAGGCCTAATATATAAATACAACTTGATATCATCTCTTAACTTAATACTCTTTCTTTCATTTTACTGGGTGGACGCAGAACAAACATGGCGGAGTACCCATTGACGTCAAATATGCACTGACGTAGTTATAAGGTGACGTCATTCAAATACGAAACTTTCAAGAGTAGCACTAACACAGAGTAAAAATATATTCAATCTCTGTTTCACAGAGGATTACGAAAGTCTCATCTCTGTAAAAGATGACTGTCTTCCAACACATGACGTCAATCATTGACTCAATGGCACGCCGTGCACTGTTTACATATACTATTCAAAAAAAGTAGGGGATATTTGATTTTTAAGTGTTATTAAAGTCACCTAATGAAACTGACGAAGAAACAAATGACAAAATGAAATGAAGTTCACATTCATCGATTTATTCCAAATGATCGTTAGACTAAGTAAGGCACAGACTGACCATTATAAGGGTAAAATGATACCCGGGGTCAAACAGCAAAGTTACCACAGCATCACAACCAAGTCAGTAACGGGTAAATCCTCCTCTGTTTGCCAACCAAGCATTGATCCGACGTGGCATACTCCTAATGAGACGTCTAAGGTCATTTTGGTCCAGATTGTCCCATTCCTGTTGCAACGCAGCAGCAAGTTCTTGGACATTGGCAGGACGTTGTTGACGTTGACGTAACCTCTGTCCAAGCATGTCCCAGACATGCTCGATGGAGGAGAGGTCGGGACTCAGTGCTGGCCAAGGTAATGTGGTGATGTTCTGTTGTTGGAGGTAACCTGTAACGATCCTGGCCCTGTGACATCTTGCGTTGTCATCCTGGAAGATGAAACGGCGGCCATGACGTCGTGCGAACGGCACAACATGGACTGCCAAGATGTTGTCCCGGTAGTACTGGCCTGTAACACGCCCTGCAACAACATGTAAAGCCGTTCTTCCAGCAACAGTAATGCCTCCCCACACCATAACAGAACCACCCCCAAATCGATCATGTCTGATGACGTTAACGTCTTGGAAGCGCTCGTTTCGACGACGCCACACCCTCCTACGTCTGTCCAAAAAATCAACAGTGAACCTTGACTCATCTGAAAACATCACATTGCTCCAGCGTCGATTATCCCAGTGTTGAAGATCCCTACACCAACGACGTCTTGCCTGAATGTGATGATCTCTCAAACAAGGGATCACGCGAGGACGTCGGGCGCGAAGGTGACCCCTATGCAGTCGATTCCGAATCGTCTGGCCACTCACTCTCACACCAGTGTCTGTTTGAAGACGAGCGCTGATCTGATTTGCTGTGATGACACGATTTCTCAAGGCCAAGGTACGGATAAATCGATCCTGGGCTTGAGTTGTCGCCCTTGGTCGACCTGAGCGTGGTCTGTCCTGTACAGATTGTGTATCACGGTATCTGGACCATAGCCTGCTTATGACAGACTGAGAAACATTCATCGTCCGCGCCACAACCGCCTGTGTTGTGCCGATCTGTAGCATGCCAAGGGCACGTAACCTTTCATTTTGGGTAAGCCGACGCATATCAAAATTTGTTTTCTGGTCACTAAAACAATTAAACTGATGTTTCCACCCTGGAATTCAATGCCACAATGACTGTAACATTCAAAGTCAGAGTCGTGCAAATCTTGGGTTGGACCTCCATGATGATCCCAAGCATCACCTGCATTCCATGCGGTAGCTATTGGTGCGTTTGGGCGTAACATGTAACTGGAAATGTTTCTTCTGTTAGGTTCTATAGTGACTTTTTTCGTAGTCATTTGCATATTTTAGTATTATGCCCCCAAAATCAAATATCCCCTACTTTTTTTGAATAGTATATAAGACGTTTCTCCTGGTTCGGGCAGAATGGTGCCTTTTACTCATTTTAACACCCATTTACACTCAGAAATAATTTTTACCTCCAAATACTTCAAACGTCTTATTTATTTTTGTAATACATAAAAAAAAAAATATTTTAGAATTTAAGGTTAATATTTGGGGCTCATTAAGTCGCATCGATGTCATCCTTATTAGTAATCAACAACCAACCAAATAGGGTCTAGACTACTGCATGTGGGTCATAAATATCTCCCATAATGAATCTTTAATAAAATTCAAGAAATCAAACCATAACTTTGAATCATTCGAGTTTGTATCTTATGAACATATGAAAAAAAGAAAAATCTTGAGAACTTCTCGGGCATTAATAGATGAAGATGACAACAATATATACTCTTTAAAAAAAAGTAGGGGATATTGAAATGCAAATACCTATGCAGGTTGTGATATGATAAATAGTCATGGACACTTGACATGCTTTGAGAGTATGTTCACAGATGAAGAACTTATCGCCCCAACAGAACCACTGAGCTGCCCGTGCGACACGGAATAGCGCCATAGGCCTACACGTGGGAGGGGTTCATTATCAAATTTGACACAAGGAAGGGTTGATGAAAACTGCCGCTTCCTGGTTTATCCTATCCATGTTTGCTTTCCTATCGGTTCTTGCATAAGATTTACTGTTTAGCATATCTTTGCTTTAGTGTGTTACGTTTAATTTGCAATGAGACGCCTTCAACATGATGAACGTCTACGTGCTATTGGCATGCTTCAAATCGGTTCTACACAGCGAGCAGTACGTAGTCAACATGCTTAATGTGTCACAGTCTGAACAGCATACTGTGGAACCGGTACCAACAAACACACAATGCTGATGATAGACCTTGTTCAGGTCGTCCTAGACCCACTACACAAACCCAGAATCGATACATTCGTACACAGGTCCTGCGAAATTGAGGAAAAACGGCCAATCAGCTTTCTGTAAACTTGTACCAAGTTACAGGAATTCGAGTTACAAATGCAGCCCATTTGCATGCGCGACAACATGTTTATGTTCATGTGTAGGCAATTGGCCTGTTATTAACATACACTGGTTACCTCTAATAAAAACAGCAGTGTATTTCGGCAGTTTTGTATTGTTTCTGAATATCCCCTACTTTTTATGAAGAGTATATTTACGTCAATACATGTCAAAATAAATTATGACCAAATAACCAATTTATTACTAAATTTATTCAATATTCATGATACACGTTTACAGATATATACATAACTAACAATTTAACAAAAACATTTAGCACAAAACCTTTATCATATTGAAAGTACAGACCACAAGACAGTTTAAAGCTACAATTTCATATTTATACGTTATATTTTTAAAATTTATTAAAATAAAGCCTTAAAATAGATGGTATCTATAAACAGTCCTACCTTGTTAAAGAATAATCCTATTAATCCTATAATTCACTATTGTCCTTTTTTTGAGAAATGGCAAAATTATCATTTTCAACTTCAAATTTAAACGTTTGCGGATAGCTACTCCATGGTGGAGAATAGAAAACAAGGGAGGTAATTGGGAGGTAATTGTGTTATTATTTCCGGTGTACCGGTAAATGAGTTTTAAGTGTCAGAATGACACCTATGATCGTATAATAGTAAGTTGACAACCTATTGAGCAAAAGACATAGAAATAATTATGTTTTGACTTTCTTAGAAAATATGAAATTTTAACTTTAAGGAATGTGAACCAGTAAAATCAATGTCTCATGAAAGATCCAGTAAACCAAGAAATACTATCAATAGTGATTTCGACCAATCAGAATCCATTTTGGGCTACAATTAAAGATGCATTATGTAAGATTTAGATAAAGAGATGTGGGTTCTTGCTATAACAGTTCAAAAATAGATAATGAAAAATTCCCTCAAATCACTAAGTTATGAGTGTTGGATTCAATTATCCATTTGTCATAAATGTTTTTAATTTCTTAGGTTTTCTAATCCAATTAAATCTCAGTCATGCGATGGTCTAGAGAGTTGATTATAGGCTTGTCATGTATAAATAATAATATATATAACATTTGACACCAAAATAAAAAACCTGGCCAAGTTCACAAAGCATTCTCAGACTTAAGTTAAGAATTTACACAACTTTCAATCATTGTTTATGAGAAATATCTTTGATCCAGAAACACAAAACTTATTGATGTATTTGATACATTAAAACAACAAAAGTTTTATAAAGGGCTATACTTTAGTTAAAATAAGGCGAACAATTCTGAGTAAATTCTGTACGCAAGTCTGAGAATGCTTTGTGAACTTGGGGCCTGCAATATGCAGATTTAGCTCTTACATAATCCATCTAAAGCAAGGGCTTGGATGGCCGAATGGTTAGTACGTGTGCGCTGTATCATAAGGTCTGTCACTGAGTCAACTGGCGTGGTTTCGATTCCACAGTTGTACGTGACAAGGAGTAGGGTCCAACCTCATGGTTTTTTCCCGGGTCCGCTGGTTTCCTCCCACTGCTTAAGACCCCTACGTGCAAGCGAATTGTTGAAATAAAATTAAACCATATGTTAGTCCCGAAGTGTCGAGTGGATCTTAAACCCCATTTCTCTCTCTCCATCGAAAGCAGGATGGACGTACGCTACTTTTCAAGATTTTAGTTTAGAGTATTCCGAGAGAGGTTGGGTGGGGTTTAACGTCCACAGTCCACTTGACACAAACTAGGTCATTTTGGGAATAACATATTGTTCAATTTTATTTCAATAATTTGCTTGCACGTATGGGTCTTTAGAAGTGGGAGGAAACCGAAGGATCCTGAGAAATACCACGAGATTGGACAGGTGACCCTACTCCTTGTCACGTACAACCGGGGAATTAGAGTATTCAGATATGATGAGAGGTAAAGATGGTGATAATGTGAACCTTGAGATTGAGATCTTATATATAAACAACATATAATAATAGTCAAAATATATCATCCTTTTCAACACTTAACACATAATAGTATTTGTTCTAAAATGAGATTGTAAATTGACAATAAAATCATCCAAGTACAATGTTATGCAAACATTTTCGAATACATTTTCTTCTGGTTTTCTTTGTATGCCTTCTTTTCTGCATGGACTCTATGTATTTCTTTTTTGATACCTGAAGTAAATGAAATGAAATGGGGTTTAACGTCCTACTGTTCTTCTCCGACAGGGCTATTAAAGACAGGCATACGCCATACAGTGTGCTATGAGGGTAATTTTGCCTGGGCAGCGGAACTATGACCTACTCTTATATCGAACTCCAACTGTCAAGGGATCTTTTACATTCACGCCAAAGTATACATGGGACCTCAGTTTTCCATCCCATCCAAACAACTAGACAGCTGCCCTAGCTGTCCGTGTCAGGTCCTCTGAGGTAAATGAAATGAGCATCAACAAAAACACATTATTAAGTGAAATGTGAAATACTTTTTATAAATATTGAAATCATTGAGTTATCTTATCTTGAACTCTCCTCTTGTAGAATCTTTGACTGTTTATCAACATTTCATAAACTTATTCTCAATTATTAGTATTACAGTTAATTAAGAACTTTTCACCCACAAAGTAAGATCTTTCATCTAGTAATTTATTACAATAAACTAGACAGGTATATTCTTCCAGGTAGATTTAAAGGAATAAGTTGTTCAACTAACCTGCATCATTAGGTTCAGACTTTAAAGCAGCATTTAAATGAATCTGTAAGAGAAAATGTAATTATAAAGTAAATAACTTAAAAAGACATTATGCAAGAGGTAAATCTGCCTATTGCAGATCTTTCTTTAGGCCTTAAATGTTTTATAAACTATTAATTAGACATTAATTAACTGATCCTGGCCATAATCAACTCTCGATGTCATTGGATACTCGAGATTTTAACTAGATTAGAACGGTTCGCCGTTTAAAAATATAATTTAAAAATGGGAAAGCGAGGCTAAGTCTCGAATATACATGTACCAGTGCCCTGGTTATCATAATGCACACATCTTGTCAAAACTACAAACAGTGGTAACTTGGCTCAGAGTGAAGTAATCTGAATGAAATTTTCATTTTGCATTATCTATTTTTGAGCTATTATAGCAAGAATGGTCAGCTCTTTATCTAAATCTTACATAATGTATCTTTAATGGCAACAAGAATTACATTGCAATTGTGAGTGGATTTCTGGGATGGGGGGAGTATACACAATTTGCAAGTTATTTTAAAAAATAATCATTCAGATTCTAAAAATATTGAATGGGGCATACTCTGGGAGTCTAAATCCCTACAGTTTCATCAAATTCTTTCAAATCACTAGTTTGTCCTCAAGATTTCCAAAGTAAGGACAAGAACTGCATCAATGAAATGAAATGAGCTGACAAAATAAAATGATTTTTAAAGACTATAATTAACATAAACTTACAATGGCTTCATCCCAGTTCTGTATAGCACTACAAGCCTGAGCTCTTCTAAATAATGCTTTAGCATTAGTAGCATCGATTTCTAAAGCCTGATAAAAACACAAACAGAGATCAAACAGTTTTGTTAAATGAAATGAAACGGGGTTTAATTAACGTCCTTCTGTTCTGCTCCAAACTGGGTTAATGGAAATGGGCATATGAAAACAGTGTGCTATGAGGAAAATTTTGCCTGGACAACGGCACTACGGCTTACTCTTATATCGAATTCCTACTCTCAAGGGATGTTTTACGTGCACACCAATGTGTACACGGGACCTTGATTTTCAACCCCATATGAACGACTATACGTTGTCCCTTGCCAGGCCCTCTGTCCTGCATTACTGAGAAAGGGGAAGAGTTTTGTAATGGCACAAATATAAGAAAGCAATCTGATTAAAACACAGATCCTATTTCGTTTCATTTTTTATAGTTCAAAATTTTGTTTCACTTGTCTTTACTGCACTAGGATCTGGAAAAGTTGTTATATAACCCGCGTTCTGGATGATGTGAGGGATTAGCCAATGAAACGGTCTATTGTAGTGAGTTCTTGGTGTGAAATGCACAGAACTGTGTGTAACCTACTAGAAACATCAACACTGATTGGTTAATCAAATTTCTGATGTCATAGGGTCAAAAGTCACAAAAAGATCCCCCCCCCCCTCACAACTGGTTCGATCTTTGTGTAGTAGAGGCCATCGAAAGTATCACTGTCATTCAATAAGCCTAGAAATTTCACCATTTTAATATAATTTTTCAAGAAGAAACAGTCTGATTTTTAACTGTCAAGATATAAAACAGGAAGTAAACAAACAAGGGAAGTAACTTTTATTATGCTAGGAACATTGCATTCAGCTAACCAGGTTTGTCAACAAAAGTTGCTGTGGATACTTAAGTTAACGTTATAAAAATGAAATGGGGGTTTAACGTCCTACTGTTCTAGTAAGTGTCAACAAAAGGTCAACATGGGTCAGTTAAAGAGTTAAACTCTGGTTTTAAAATTCCATTGTATTATTCCAATGTGATCAGTATAATAATCGTATTCTAACCTCAAGACAATTTTCATTGGCTTCGTCGTATTTTTTCAACTTCAAACAACATAAAGCTCTGAAAATACACAGTTTTTAAAAATAATTTCCAAGTATCCAAAACTTAAGCATTATTTTAATAAATTCAAAGTATGTAGCATGTGTTATCAACAAGTGATATGTACAGAGAAAAGTATACATGATTAGGGTGACCCACCATAAATAAATATCTCCATATATCTCGACAATTACGCCACAATATTTATATATATGCCAAGCCTCAAATCAGTTTCACAAAATTATAGTCACTAAATAAACGATCATGTTGTACTTAATAAGCTATAACCATTAATCATGTATAAATAATAGACTGAAAACTGGTTCCAAGAGTCGTCCATAACATCCCGACACTTTTGAGTAAAAGATAGGTTACGTGCCCTTGTTTTGAAATTAGTCTCGCTTAACCAGTCTATCGACCATTCTACGTCTGATTGACAGGTCGGGATAATCAAGACTACTTTTTTACGAAACATAACAGAAAGCTAGAACAAGAAATTGAATTTAGAAATAAGCAGGTTAGGTAGCTCAACAATCGTTTTAAGAAGCTTGTAAAAGTAAAATGAAACTACTGCTAGTATCATGTTCCTGTCTAACCCGAGTGATTCAGAGATATTATTTGTACTAAACCAAAAGATGCCGCTCTTAACGGTACAGTTAATGATAAAGCGATTTAAAAAATGAAACGAACGTAATTTCTAAATCTGCTGTAATAACCAAGAAGCTTAATTTTACTGCTATTCAAAATCGTCAACAATAAATTTTTTACGGCTGTAATAGTTGATAGATCCAGAGAAAATCCACACGGTTGAACAGGTGACCCTACTCCTTGTCACGCACAACTGGGGAATCGAAACCACGCCAGTTGACTAAATGACAGACCTTATGATGCAACACGCACGCGCTAACCATAACCATTCGGCCATCCAACCCCGCTAGAAATGAAATAGAATATAACTTACAGATTTAATAATAAAGACAAGACATGGCTTCTTCCCATCTCATTTTCTTCTTCTTCTGATAAATTCATCTGATCCATAATAGTGTGTATATATCTAAAACAAACATTTATATATTCCCTTCAGCACTAAAGTTTTATTCATTTGCGAAAAATCTTAAACATACATTATGCAAGACCTAAATCTGCCTATTGCAGGTCTATCTTTAGGCTTGGAATGTTATATAAACTATTCATTAGACATTTATTAACATGAAAAGACCTTAATCAACTATCAATGCCATCTTATGTGTTCGCTTTTCACTGGATTTGAATCCGATCTGCTGCTTAACACTCATTGATGATTACGATAAATCCAAAACTGGATAATCAAGACTATGGGTTTTTTATCATACAGACTTTAGTAATGATGATCGAGGCTAGGCCTAAAATTCAATCGCTAATATCTCGGTTCAGAGTGGAGTAATTTGACCAAAATTTTCAGCATATTCCCTTTACATTATCTAGTTTTTAACAATTATAGTGAGAACTACCAGCACTTTAATCTTCCATAATGCCCCTTTAAATATTACAGTTAATGTTTGATCTCCGAATGAAGATCTGACCAGTTGTACTGGAAAGTAGCGTCAGAGGTCGTACGAGCAGCTTTTGACTCGTTCCGTGCATCAAACGCCAAGAACTTGCCGTAACAGACCGTTTGATTGGCTTCTTCCAGATCCTAGTGTAGTACAAACAAATAAAACAAAATTTTGAACTATCAAAAACAAAACGAAATAAAATCTGTGTTTTAATCAAATTGGAATTAATCCTGCCATATATGGATGTCCCAGAATCAGTGAGTCAAACACATCAATACCTACTTTAATGCTTTATCATATTTTTTCTTTGCTAGCTCATAATTCTGTTTTTTAACCTGTTCAGTTCCTATTCCTTTTATAGCATCTACTATTTGAAATATTTTTTCTTTCTCTTCTTTCTGTAAAAGAAAAATCAACTTTATGGCAGGGTTTGAAATGTTGAATTAAAACCAGCTAGGATCCATGTAGGCCCAAAGTTCAAACACAAAAGCAAATCTCTTAGTTTTAAAAATTCTGTCGAGATTGAGAACTCAGCTGAATAATACTGATCAAAAGATTTCACAAAAACCATAGGAGGGGGAACAACTCCAAATAACACCACCAACATATTCTGAATTTCATTTAGAATAGAAAAAGCTCATTATTGAAATTAGTCATGGTATTGATGTAATGAAACCATACACGATGTTTCACCACTCTCACTCAATTAGAATTAAATTTATTGAGCACCAACGTCTCGCTCTGCTTCCCATGATCAGAAAATGCCCATTATTGAACTTAGTCAAGGTACTGATGTAATGAAACTATACACCAAGTTTCAACAGGCTTGTCTTGTAGCGTGTTCACAAATTTTCATTAGTTTAATGTAAATGGGGAGATAACTCTGAAATCAGCAATTTTTGATATTTTTTTACAACTAAATGAATAATCCCTGTAAATCTTAACAAATCAACAGACACAGGTGATTACAATATATGTCCACATTTAATACAATCTGATTAAAACACAGACCCTATTTTGTTTTGTTTTTTATAGTTCAAAATTTCGTTTTACTTGTCTTTACTACACTGGGATCTGGAAGAGTTGTTATATAACCCGCGTTCTGGTTGATGTGAGGAATTAACCAATAAAACAGTCTGTTACGGCGAGTTTTTGGCGTGAGGTGCACAGAACTGTGGGTAACCCCACTAGAAACATCAACGCTGATTGATTAATCAATGTCTGACTTCATAGGGTCAAAAGCCGCTCATATGGCCCATGACGAAAGGAAATAACGATATGTATTTTAATCAGATTGCATTAACCCTTTCACTGCGTATACCCGGTAGTACCGGGTATAATAAAATGTCGGTAAAATGCCCGTACCCGGTATTACCGTGTACTCAGTAAAGCCCTCGCTAAAATTAGTACCGTAACTGCAAGTGCCATCTATTGTATTTTCTATACACTAGAACATATTTCCACGTGTTTCAAAGCAGCAAACCGTAAAATGGCGGAGTGCATCGTGACAACGTAGACGATGCACTCTCGACGAAGTCGTGAATGACGTCTTGCTGACCAACATGTGGACAATTTCGAGGCGGGTGATACACATAATTCGTTTCCAGTTACTTGATAATGATAGTAGTCAGGACAGTGATTGGTATTATGAAGTGTGTGATTTGTTGCGCGACGTTCCGCCCATGGCTAGCTATGTCTCCTGTGCATGATGAACAAGCCCAATGTGAACACGATAGCCCTGTGTCTGCAGTAGATTCTGACAATAATTCTGATGTTGATAATAATGCTGGCCTGCTGGATCGTAAAATACGTAGGTAATTCCTGATTCCCGAACGTGTAGATCTATTGACTGACTATATTGATAATGATATGGGACTTGGGGATGAAAGTGAAAGTGAAAGTAAAAACAAGGTATTGCAATCCGCACGTGGTCATGGCAGCGGGAGACGTGATGCGCGTGTTCGCGGCGGCATTGCTCATGGCTGCTATTGATATTTTTGTTCATTTTATATATCTTTATCAAAATCCAGTAAAAAAAACAATATCTTTTAAGTATTTCATGGAGAAAAATTCGTTTTCGTGTTAGCTTTAGTGTGAAATGAGAAATCCAAAATGGCCGCCATGACGTCACGTGACTACATTATTATGCAAATTTCCAAAATTCTATTTTTTCCTCTTAGCCCAACCTCATGCCCATCCCAACAGACAAAAAGATTTTTCATAAAAGCTTCCATAAGTACTGCTTGGCATTCAGTTCCAACCTCCCTTTTTTCCTCAAAAAAGGGTCTAGCACAGGCAGTGGATTTACGTCTAGCATTGAAAGGGTTAAATGTGGGTGTATAAATATTAGTTAAAAATTGTCAAAATATGACATACGTTTTTAAAATCTACTTCAGCATCTTCGGGCCAGTCAGGATACATATCACCAGTACCATCATCTAGATTAATACCATCTGACTCACCTGGTAAAATTTCACCACAATCACTTATTACACAGTCCTATAAAAATAAACAATATTTACATGAGAGAGACACACAAACTAGTTCATTTTGGGACTAACATATGGTTCAATTTTATTTCAATAATTCGCCTGCGTGTAGGGGGTCTTTAGCAGTGGGAGGAAACTAGAGGACCCGGAGAAAACCCACGAGGTTGGACAGGCGACCCTACTCCTTGTCACGTACAACTTGGGAATCAAAACCACGCCAGTTGACTCAATGACAGACCTTGTGATACAATACGCATGCATGAACCATTCCACCACCCCCAATGTTTTATAACATACAATGTACCAAAGTCTTTATATCATTTTAACAGTAACTCACATTGACGATACAAAATAAGAACATTTTTATAATATACAATGTTAAAAATTGTGTACTTTACAGTTCAATTATTTGCTTATCTAAAATATATAATAAATTTCAATCTATTTAAATTAGTGATGTACAATTGTAATTCATTTTAATTGGCCTTGAGTATAGAAATTGGCCTTGAGTATAGAAACTGGCCTTGAGTATAGAAATTGACCTTGAGTATATGACTGTAGAAATTGATTTTACCTTTACTGGTTTGTCATTTTCACCTGTTTCCTGGTTTTCTAATTGTCTTACTACACTCATACCCTTTAAAACTTTACCAAATACCACATGTTTACCATCTAGATGTGGTGTTTCAACTGTTGTTATAAAAAACTGTGAACCATTTGTATTTGGACCTGAATTGGCCATACTAAGTAATCCAGGTCTGTCATGCTACAAAAACAAAACATGTGTAACATTTAGTTATGTAACCTTCTTTAATATTCATCTTTGCTTAGTTGTAGCACTGATTGGGGAACAACATTAGTAGTGCTTTCACCAAGGGTTAAAAGACAGCTCCCAGTTTGGGCCGATACGGTTCAGCAACTTTCTAGTGATGAAAATGAAGCCAGGTCCAAGATGCTTTCAGACATGTCAATGGAAATGCCCTAACCTGACTTTTTTCACATCCATGAAATGAAATGAATTTAACGTCCTACATTTCTACACCAACTACTACTGGTCCAAAGAAGACCAGATTTTTATGTTGAAAATGTACGTCTAATTGGTTTACTAGCTATCTATCTAGTCTCAGTTATCCTGATTAATGGTATATTAGATATCTTTAGTCTCTGTTATCCAGTTATATTAGATGTCTTGTTTATCAAATTATTGCTAGTTTTGAGATCTCGTAATTTCAGGGAAATTGCTGGTTGATCACCAAGAAAGATGGAGAAACGGTGTGTCACAGTCCATTTCGAGTCACCTTTTTCTCCCATTTTCAGTGAAAAGAAGTCTTAAAATCCAACTTTTAAAAATGCACTTAAAAGTTTTCACTGCATACCATACAGGTGAAATGCAAGAAAATGAAATGGCCGTAATAAATTATGATTTTTTATGTCTCAAGTGCATACTTTGAGTTCTAAATTTTCATCATCAAATTTTTCTCCATAAATACTTTCACCACCAGTTCCATTTTCAGCTGTAAAATCTCCACCTTGTATCATAAAACTCTTTATGACTGTAAAAAAATAGATAATAAACAGAAACTTAAAAAAAAAACACAACTCCATAACACATAACATTAGAGAGAGAGAGAGAGAGAGAGAGGGGGGGTAATATCCACTCAACATTTCGGGACTAACATATGGTTCAATTTTTATTTCAATAATTTGCTTGCGCGTAGGGGTCTTTAGCAGTGGGAGGAAACTGGAGGAATGGAGAAAACCCATGAGGTTGGGCAGGCAATCATACTCTGGGGAATCAAAACCAGACTATATGATACTACGCACACATGATAACCATTCGACCATCCACCCCACCCCAACCCACAACATTAAAGAAAATTCACAAAGTTGGGCAGATGATCCTACTTCTTCAACCTGAACAGACAACAAAGTCCTTGGTACCTACAAGCTGGAAATCAAAACCATGTTACTTGACTAAAGGCAAGTGTTGTAATGTGATCTAAAGTGCTTGTGTTAGACCATTCACATCATCACCCCTCCCCCAAGTGGTGTACCATTCAACTAAAGCTCCCACTTCTAACTAAATTAAACTCACTTCTATGGAAAGGACAGTTTTTAAAATGAAGTGGTTTTTCTGATTTTCCATTTCCTTTTTCACCAGTACATAAGGCTCGGAAATTCTCAGTTGTCTTGGGTACCTTGTCTTTGAACAGTTCAAATAGAATTCTTCCCACTAAAAAAGAAAATGGTTTTATATTGGTTCATGTATGTAACCTGGTTTATAAATAACCCCTGTCATCGCACGAAAAACATTGTCGACAACAAGGGGTAATCTAGGAGCCCAGACATAAACTGTTTTTTGCCAATTTTGGATGCATAATTTTATTCAAATACAGTCAAACTACAGCTTCATATAAAGACTGAATAATAATCAATCAAATTCAAAGTAAAAAAAATATATTTGAGTAAGGTATTTTTGAAACCATAAAAATCTGCAAATAATTTAATTGTCATTTCCATGTAGAATCGTCTTTTGATTACTACTACTACGGGCTAGAATGATCCACACAATATCATCATCATCAGTGTCTTAAGAAGATTGCAAATACAAAGCTAGCACCGAGCGCAGAACAGATTAGACACTTGTTTTAACCAGCAAAATCTTTCATGGAAAGGGGAGGGGGGCCAATAAAATCTGTACGCGTATATGCAAGAAACAAAAGATATAAGCTTGTTGATGTAACGCGGATATTTCCATCTTCGAAAGATGTCGCAGTACTGAAATTGTCCCTTCTCGGTGCGACAACACTTGTTTGTGAATTTGTAGGCCACTTGTTAGTCAGGACGAAAAAATCTTACCACTCTCTCCTCCGATTGCTATGTCGAAAAATACTTTAGGGTTCTCAGACATGTTGATAGTAGAGATTCCAAACAATATTGGACAATGATATTCTAATAAGGTATGTTCGTTCCAATTAATAACACAGTAACGTAATAAATGCTCAACTACAGCGTGTTTCTGTTTTGTTTGTTTGAAGCCGGCGGAAGTTGCATGCGTTTTGAGCAGAGACTCAATCATCCAGGCTGAGATTAATCTCTCAAGTGATGTATTGCTTTTCTTTTTGACAATCAACAATACATGAATTAACTTTATAGTTTATTTAATCAATGAAAGAACTGAAAGAAATCATTTGTTATTCCCGCCCCAAACAAATCTATCTTTTATTTTACGGAAATTCAGCTCCTTAGTGTCAATTTGATTGATCTAGGGAATCATTATTTTTTTGTTTGATTTTAGGAGTGGGTTGTGGTGCAGTGATTTCATTTACAAGGATTTGAAATTGGATTAAAAACTTCGATCTTGAACCATTTAGAAATGACACTCGCATATTAAATCATTTAGCGGCTATCAAAGAAATCGTGGTCCTAACATTCCTTATAGGCCATACTTGCATTTAGGCTGTATTAAAAGTTATAACTTGCGCACAGAGAGTGGTAGGGCCTATTTATTTACAAATATGTAAATCAATCAAAAATGATACCAACATTCGAAACTGTTGAAACATATGCCTACTTATGAAAGACAGTATTGAAAACGACAATGTAACCAAGGCAATTCTGAAATATCATTAATGGACTGATCAAAAATGATTATCAAATTCTAAAATCATCTAACAATAATAGTAGATTTCTCAGCCAGTGTAATTTATACAAGACTGGAGTTGTGATCTATTGTCTCTGCAACCATATATCTTTAGCTAATTATTGGGTTCACATTTTGTAAAGAAGTCACACATCTCGCGCACTCAAATGAATGAGTGATGGGTTGACACATAAAAAGATTTATAATTTGGTAAACATAGCTGGTTCTGTGTGAAAACAAAATATCAGCAGATCACTTATGATAGGAACATTATTATTGGATCATTTGGCTTAGTAAGCAATCGTTATAATTAATTACATCATATTTGACCAATTAGAAAATTTGAAAGCCGAAACCCAAGGGCAGAAAACCATCTGGGCTCTGGGCGATCGGTAGACACTACACTAGACAGCTGCTAGATTAGAGCAGGCTCATATAATGTAGATTCGTTGGAGAGACCGCTGAGGTTCAAGAGACGCCATCTGGATTGAATGCCCCGTTTAGTCGTAGGAGAGCCGTATGATGTCCATAGCCGCCAGAAAACTGGTTATGCGAAATAGTGGAATTGAGATTGTTGAGAATGGCTTTTATTGTAATTTATGCTTGTAACCAATGTATCCACTGCTTGATATAATATGTAGAAACGAACTGTTGCATTGTTATTCCTGGTAGATAATCGTCTTAACGATTGAGATAGTAAAAAGAAAATACACAACGTGAAAAGGGGATCCAAGCCAAAAGAAGAGAATTACAAATATAACCAGAGACGATCACAACACGGGGCTAATAAAATCTGTAGCAGAGTATGCGTCACACGTTGGATGTGGGGAGTTTTTATGAGTTTGGGCTTTCCACATCTAACCGCTAACGCATTGTACTACACTTTATATGCTGCTTGATGTTTTCAAAGCCGAGCTGTCGAATTTTGTAGTTTCTGCGATTTAGAATACCCAGGCGTGGATGAGACATAAACGCGCCCCAGTGAGCGCGAGACAAAGAAAGCGACCTTATGGGGGGCGGGGGCTTCACGGCGACAGCACTCCGCCCCCTCCTCTCAGGCCCAGTCCCAAAAAGATAAAAGTTCAGTATATTGCGTATTGCGCGTCGTTCATATCTGATTTTTTTTTTTTTTTTTTTTTGGCGCCTATGGCACTCGATCCCATGTCATCATTTTTCCACCCGGCTGTGGTTTTATTACATATAGTTAACCGTCCAGTTAGTAGTATCACTAGGATGGGTCGTGAGGCGACAGACTGTACAAATATCCTGTCAAATCTCACAAACCAGGCAGAATTGACAGGTAGGTCTCAAGATTCTGTCCCATTTCTGTTCCTCTCGTTCACAAAAATTTGTTCCCAGCAATCACCTCAATTGCCAGAAAATTGACTCTAAATTTCAAAATTATCTCAGAGGGCGACTTCCACTTTTGGACCATCATCTAATGTTGTCAGTTCTTCAGGCTCCATGCAAGCCAAATCAGATTACACCGATGTTTCTTGCTAATTTTGATGGTGAGACAGAGATCACAGTTTAATTTTTTTTCAGATTTGTCGAAAATTCCACAAGGCACCCAGTCTTATCGGCATTTAGATTTACAAAATTGTTGCTCATCCAAGTCTTGATATCCTGAAAGCAAGCTTTAATGTTGAATTTCGAGAGGTTAATATCACACTCGGTGGGTTTAAAAAAAATGTAGAGTTGGGTGTCGTCACCGTATAGGTGAAATGATAATGCAGGTATTCCGACTACATGTATATGACCCGCCGGGTTTGGTATAAAGATTAGTCCTACTACCCAGAATAGATCCTTGGGGGACTCCTGAAACTAAGCTCAAGGTGAGTAAGCTGGTGACACATTGTTGTTGATAACATTTTGTGCACAACCATTAAATTGACTCCAACAATCAGATATTTCAGACAATGTGTCTTTAATGTAACATGAATGTATATTATATTCATTTTATTTTATTTTTTTCAATCTGATTAAAATACAGATCTATCTATCGTTTTGTTTTTTTATACTTTCGATGGCCTACACTACATGAAGATCTGACAAGTTATAGTGATAGGTCACGTCAGGGGTCAAAAGACCGACTTATGACCCTATGACGTCAGACATTTGATTAACCAATCAGTGGATTACCCACAGTTCCGTGAAAAACACGCCTAAAGCTCGCTGTAACAGACCGTTTCATTGGCTTATCCCTGACACCATTCAGAACTCGAGTTAAATAACAACTCTTCCAGATCCAAGTGTAGTAAAGACAAGTAAAACGAAATTTTGAACTATAAATACGAAACGAAATAGGATCTGTGTTTTAACCAGATTGGTTTTTTTTAACTTTGTAATTTAAATTCTAATCAATTATGTTTGGTGAAATACATGAACAGTCCAAATTGAACGACAGTCGTTTCTGTCTGCTTAGTCCTTTCTTCACGTTTTTTTACAATTATTTTGTACATACATATATATGTACTGTTTTACTGTAAAGTCTGTATTTATTATGTAGATCTAATTAATTAAGCAAATTCAAGAGAAGAATAAATACAGTACATTAGAACTTATATTGACTTTTAAAAGCATTATATTTTTTATTTTGGTATTTGGGGGGTGGGTGGGGGGTCAAGACACCACCAATGTCTGTCTTAAAACAGCTATTAAATCAGATTATCTACAGAGTGGTGAGGTACCATAAATGTCAGAAATTTGTACTTATGAATCATGAATAATGTGCATGATACTTTAGTGTGTCTGAGAGATAGTCTATAATATGTATGCGCATCCTGTCTCAGATATAATCATGTCTATCATTTATTTCAATCAACATCGATTTGATTCCAGAGTCAATTTCTATTCATTTAAATCAATCATTATACCAAAGCTTAACATCCATTTCAAAAACTTTTATATCATTATCAATCCTATTTAGTTCAATACATTACATAGTCAATTTAATTACACAGAGAGTGAGAAATTGGGTTTAACGTCCACTCGACACAAACTATAAGGTCATTTTGGGACTATCATATGGTTCAATTTTATTTAATAATCCGCTTGCGTGTAGGGGTCTTAAGCAGTGGAAGGAAACTGAGGGACCCGGAGAAAACCAATGTGGTTGGACAGGCGTCCCTACTCTTTGTCACGTACAACCAGGGAATCCAAATTGCACCAATTGACTCAATGACAGATCTTATGATACATCGCCATCCAACCTCCAATTTGAATACTACAAAATAAACTAGATTTTTTTATGCTAGTCTAAAATAAATTTAATATATCAATTGTTTTTATAACTTTTAGAACTGGACTGGTACCATGTTTTGTTACTAACAATTGTTCATCATTTGTAAATTATTTTAAATCTTCCAATATCCAGTGTTATTTAGAAAGCCTTTGGTGTGCTATCTTCTGAGAAAGAAAAGATTTAAAATTTTCATGCACTTTATTTTATGTGTTCATTTTGCCTTCTTCATTCTTTTTGCTGGAACAACACGCTCACTCGTTTCTTCTTTCTCAATTTTACCAGCTTTTCTCTTTTTATTAGATTCTCCATAACTATCAAGTTCTTTTAATAATTTATTTTGGGCCGATACTGATAATAATTTTCCTTCTTTACTGTAGATCAAAACATCTCCAGATTTTGTGACTTTCACTTTTTGACCATCATCTAATGTTGTCAGTTCTTCAGGTTCCTCTTCTTCAATTTCTTCCTCTTCTTCAACATCTGGTAGTTCTACAGAGTTAGCACAGTCTAAAGAAACATATAATGGGATAGCTACTGAGTCAACTGTTCTTATGTGAAGGTTTCTGATGTTGTCAGAACCACCTGGTATCACATCACTAATTTGCTTTACTGCTGCCATAATGTTGGCTACAATGTCATTTATTTTCATTTTATTGTGAGCTACTGCAACCATAGAGCTTGATCCTTTCATGGACATTACATAATTACATCGGTTGATGGCGCCGTTTACTTCATCTTTCAGAGAATCTGCAGACATTATGACACGTTTTGGTATCTTTTTCCTTCCATAAAAATGTTTGCCTAAAATTCTAGGCAGTACTTTAGTTACTCTACTATCTGCTAGAAATATATCATACATGTTTGAAAGATTTCTCTTGGCCTCAAATGGTTTGTATTCAAGAAGAAGACTTTTGAGAGGAATGATGTCGGGTATCTCTTTCAATCCAGCTTTTTTCAACAAGTCTTGATAGTGATACTTTGTTTTCTCATATTCTCGGTCATCTTTATCCAAATCTTTTACAAAAAGACAAACTGTTTGATTGTCGTGGCTTGTTGACTTAGGTAAATTTAATTCAACGGTTGTTGCTTTTATCTTTTTTCCAGCACTTGGTACTTTCTTGAAAGTTACCGTCAAATTAATTTTCTCAGGCACATCAACAATGTCTAATTTTTTCTGATTTAAAGAAAACAGGCCTTCCACGGCCTTTAGAACGTCTTTTTTGTTAATTTTGATACCAGACGGCATTTTGTAGACACTATACTATACAATATGGGGAGTAAAGAATATTCAGGAATATTCTATCAATTATTTCAGCCTATTCAGAACTTATTCACATAGAACACAGTCAACAACACGTGTTTCAGGGATTCCCCATTGCATGCTGGTATTTCGTTTATCCAGTCTCAAATATTTACTTGTTCTTCTGGGGTTTTCCGTGAGTCTGAAGAGTTTTAATATTTTGATTTATGAGTCGATTTTTTTTGTACATTTTCGCTTTATAAATATATGTTGATTGATGTCATAGTTTTGAAAGGTTTTTGATTTTTAATTATTAGTATTACAAAAACTATTTAGTTTTGTTCACATACTGAATATTAGATTCGTGGATAAAATTATGTAGTGACTAATGTGACTAATTAATTTAGTCTACAGGAAATGACGTAGTATTATCTATTTAAAGAACTGGGAATCCGCACAATCATTCTAATATTTATGTTCTCAAAGGAGTCAGTCGCATTTTAGATGACAAAACAGTTTTGAGAGAATAAGAAAGAGAAATGGAGTTACCACATCTTGGTGAACATTGTTCAGATTCCAGTTGTAAAAGACTAGGTAAACGTTCTAATTGATTAATTAAACAGCTAGGCTAATTAATAATAGGCCTATTTTTTAAAAGTAATTGTTGACATTCACATTGACAGTCGTGTATCGACTGTTTACGTATCATGTTATATTTTTTGACTGTCCTTCATGCCATAGACAGTCTCATTCTCTGATAATAAAGGGTTGGCAAATACAACGGCTTGTAGAATGGGTTAATAATAATAATAATACTTACCATTACGCCAAATACAGTCAAAATAAATGGTCATAATCATGATAATAATGGCCAAAGAATTTGGTCCTAACGACCCCTAAATTTGGTTGTAGCGGCCCAAAAATTTACAGTGTATAGATACAAGTAGATAAAAGGGCTTTTTCACGATTTTACTTGATTATTGATATTTCGTTTTGTGTATAGTGCAGATCTCCTGCACTTACTTCATTATTGTGATGATTTTATCGTCGTTTTTAATACTGAATTTAGTCATGGTTTTAATAAATAACCAACCACAAAATAAATCTTTTTATTCAATAAATATTCAAAAACAATTTCATTAATAAGCAATAATATTCACCAAAAATGGTATTACAGTATTACACAGCCACTAAACCTCTTTTAACAGTCCCGATACACTTTTTTCTCCCAGTTCATACAATTCCCATATTATATTTTTAATATTTTACCCTGAATTATGTCAAATTTCTTTCTCCGCCGACGCTTTAACTTTGTATAATAGTTGTAATAGTAGATGAATGTGTGAAAACGGAATCAATATCTCGTTTCGTCTCTTCTCCCCCCCCCCCCCTCACATTTACCTTAACCTCTTCCTCTTTTATCTCTACATCACCTTCGAGATCCTGACAATAAAACTGCACCCCCTCCAACTCTCCACGAACAATCAGACGATGTCTCCCATCTCAAATACAATGTTGCCAGCGGTCACAACCATCGCATTCCAATGCTTGTCAGGGACACACAGCCTTCGCACACACAACACAAACACTCACCATAGTAATTATTTGTAGATTAGTCAAATGAAATAACTGTAGGCCTGGACTCACTCTACGCATTGTTTAGTCAAATGAAATAACTGTAGGCCTATGTCCTGTAGGCTAATAATAAGTCAGAATGCCATACATGGTTTGGATTGTTTTGTATTTTTAACATGTGATCCAAAAATTTTAAACCTATCCTTTATTTCAGATTTTTTACCAATGACCTGTGATGCTTGTCAAAAAACATTTTGGTAAGTAGTATCCTATGACATAAGTAGTATTTTATTACATTGTACAAGTTCTCTAGTTTTGCTTACTAACTGTGGTCAACTATTTGATTGTGTGGATCTCCAAAATGCCTAGAAAACTTAGAGACAAGAAGTTTGTTTGATGAAAAAATAAAAATTTTCATAACATGCTTGATTAAAATTCTGTTTTTATTTTATAGTGGAGATCATGTAACCTACTCTAGTCACAACTGTACAGAATCCTATAAAAAGGTAAGAGAAATAAAAATATTTACCGGATCAGAACTTCGGTCAACAATGTCCTTGTTTGTGGGTTTTCAGTCAGTTATGTGTTGGTGCCGTCATTTATTAATAAAAACAAAATCATAAGAAACTTGAGACCATTTCACTTCACTGTGTAATATATATTGTTCTTTTATGATATTCATATTCAGGATACAGAGAAAGAGAGAGAAATGGGGCTTAACGTCCATTTGACACAAACCAGGTCATTTAGGGACTTTCATATGGTCTCTCTCTCTCTCTATTATTAAGTGCAGGGGGACTGAATCTAAGTGAGATTATTAAAGATGGTATTTTATATATTTAGGATAATCAAGTACCAGCATGTCCGTTATGTAGTGCACCAATACCTGTGAAACCAGGTGAAACACCTGATATTGTAGTTGGGCGACATATTGATACAGATTGTCAATCAGATCCAGCTAAAGAAAAAAGACAGGTAAGAAACCACTGTCCCTTTTATGTAACCAACTAATGTTGTCATGTTTGACCTAACGCCGTTTAAATTCCTTTCTTAAAACAATTTTTGTATGAAAGTTACCTCCCTTGCATAAAATTCAGTAAGCATTAAAGGGGTATTAGGTAAGATTTGATAAAGAACTGACATTTTTCACTATAATAGTTAAAAAATAGATAATGTAAATAGAATATGCTGAATATTTCAATCAAATTGCTTCCCTTTGAATCGAGGTATTAGCCATAGAATTTTAGGCTAGTCACAATCAGAGATGGTCCTGCACATTTTAGCACGTGTGACGTCATTTGGATTGTGGGTTAGGGTGAGGGGTAGGACTTGCAGATTTCGTCAAAGTCTTGAGATGTAAACAAGACTAGCACTAACCCTATCCCTGGACCAAGTCTAACCCTTAACCTTAACCCTAACCCTAACGTACAATCCACACATGACGTCATGTGTAGGACTGTTTCTGTTCTAGCGTTCTCCGCAGTGAAAGGGTGGACATTTTTATCCCATCTGGTGTTGATGCCTAATAATTTTAGAAGTGCATAATCTAGACTAGACCTGCATAATCTAGACTAAACCTGCTTAATCTAGACTAGAACTGCATAATCTACATGTAGACTAGAATTGCATAATCAGGAATAGAATTGCTTAGTTGACAGAAATCTTGTAATGATATTACAATGAAAACATTAAATTGTCAATTTTTGTTATGTAATGTTTTATTTATTTTTCAGGTTTATACCAATAAATGTTCTGCTAAAGGATGTAAAAATAAAGAGGTATGGTAACTATTTCAATTATAAATTTGACTGCAATGTGTTTTAGATTGCTGTATGAAAAGAAGTTAAAGAAGAAAAAAAATAACACAACTGTTTCGGCTGGTGATTTTCAGCTGAAATTAGGCAGAAATCATGGAATTGTTCATATGGATTATGAAAGGACCACTAAATTCGGTCAAAACAGAATTCTCCTGTCCAAAACAGAATTTGAATTAGGCAGTGTTTTGAAACGGAAAATCATTAGCCCTAAAAACTTGGGTTTATTTTGATGTGCAAATTTATTTTATTGTCAAGTCTTAAGTTTAAATCAAATTAAAATTACGTTGGTATTTTGTAGCTCATTCCAGTGATATGTGAAAAATGTCGGAAGAATTTTTGCCTTCGTCATCGACATGAACTCGATCATTCATGTAAAGGTTTTGAAGGGAGTGGCAAATCTGTGTCGAATTCAGGGTATGTATATATATATTTTAACATTATTAAAAGTGTTTTAGTCCTCCTCATGAATAACACATTGGCGTGCACATAAAAGATTCCTTGGCAGTAGGAATTCGATATAAGAGTAGGCTGTAGTGCCACTGCTCGGGCAAAATTTCCTTCATAGCACACTGCATGGCGTATGCTCTTCTTCATTAGCCAAATCAGAGAAGAACAGTTGGATGTTAAATCCCATTTCATTTCATTAAAATAATTTCTAGGTGTTTTCATAAACTTCATTTATTTGTGTATGGAATTTACCTTTAGTCGTGTTTCTGTCCTTTCCACTTGTCGAAAGTATTTGTGTTCCATAGAATTGTATACTGTGTATTTCCTGTTATTTGAAACATTTTAATTGTGTTATGTTGTTTTTTTTTCACCATAGGGCAGCGGCTTTATCCCGGTTTAATTTCTTCAGTAGCTCAAATACAAACACAAAAACTAAAACCAATTCAAAACCGCAACAATCTTCACTCAGTAATATTGGCCGAGATTTAAACAGGTAAAGTCTTATATCTATCAGTCTACAGTGTTCTTGTTACACATAATATAATAGTTATTGCAACAAGTAGGAGCATGTCGTCATCGTAGCCGGCTTGGAATTGTGACAATATATCAAAAATGGAAGTCCATCAATCAATGTACAAGTTTCCATAGAACAAGTTTCATGCCGATAAAATTGGTGAAACCCTGGCCCATGTTTCACAAATCATTATCAGGCTTAAATCACTATTTTATAAGAAATATCTTGGATCCAAAAACACAAAAATTTGCACATAGTTTCTTATTGTGATATTTGATACAATAAAACAACAAAAACTTTTAGTTTTGTGAAACTGGGACCTGGGCTTTTTTTTATTTTTGAAGAGCAGCGCCCCAAGTAGATTACCGAGTGTATACACCCTGTTCCTGTTTTAAAAAATAGCAAATATATGGCAAAATATTAGGATACTAACTTTTCATCATTCATTTAGATCAAACTGACTTTGTCTTTGAGCCAATCTTGTTTTCTACAATTAAGAGGGGTTGGATGGCCAGATGATTAGTGAGTGCATGTTATATCATAAGATCTGTCATTGAGTCAACTGGTGTGGTTTCGATTCCCCGGTTGTACGTGCCATGGTGTAGGATTGCCTGTCCAACCTTGTGGGTTTTCTCCGGGTCCTCTTGTTTCCTCCCACTACTAAAGATCTCTACGCGCAAGGGAATTATTGAAATAAAATGAACTATTATATGTTAATCCCGAAATGACCCAGTTTGTGTTGAGTGGACGTTAACCCCCTTTCTATCTCTCTATCTTTCTACAATAGAGACATCTGTAGTGCACATAAACTTTATTTTAAACATATATTATGCAAGAGCTAAATCTGTCTATTACAGGTCTTACTTTAGGCCTGAAATGTTATATAAATTATTAATCAGACCATAATCAACTCTCGATGGCATTGCTAGCATGCAATATTTTCTGAATTAGAATCCTATCTGCTGCTTAATGCTCACTGATAATTAAATCAAAAATGGATAATAGAGACTATGTTTTTTATCGTACAGACTTTAGTAATGATGATCGTGGCTAGATTAAAAATACAATTGCTAAAATCTGGGTTCAGAGTGGATCAGTTTGACTGAAATTTTCAGCAAATTGCCTTTACATTATCTAGTTTTCAACTATTATAGTGAGAACTGCCAGCTCTTTATCTAATCTTTAATTATTGTATATTTATAGAGAGAGACAGTCTCGTCAACAAAGAGGAGTACCGATGACAACTCAAGCTGGAATGGTGAGACATGTTTATAATAACTATTTTTATTGATTATGTGACACGGTATTTAAAGGCTACCATTGTGATGATTGTTTACGATATCACCCTTGTTGGAAGTGGATTTAAAACTCCAGGAACAAACGAATAAATAGAATAGTGTGTATTAATTGTCAGGTCCAAAAATGTTAATATGATACTGTAAATATACCCAGTTATATGTTGATGCCTCCTATGATATCACTTCAGTGAAAGTTATTGTTAAAAACTAGCAGGTTTGTATTTCCTAATGATGATTAAAATGATGATAGACTGTTTAAACCATAATATCCATTTTATGACATAAACAATAATTCTTTATTGTAATTTTGCTTTCTAATGTACTCCCTAGTTCACAGTTTCCTCTCACTGCTAAAGACAGCTAACTATGCGCAAGTGATTTCATATGTTAGTCCCAAAATGACCAGGCTTGTGTTGAGTGGACGTTAAACCCTTTTTTTTCTCCCTCTCCCTATTTAGCTGCTAAACTGCTCACAAATATTTGAGTGTAGAAAAAACATTTAAATTTAAATCAACCTTATTTTAAGCAGTAATCTAATCATTTTAAAACTAATCTATATAATAATATAAGCAACATGGTGCATCCATTTTCTGAAGAAGTTAGAGTTATCTCCCTCTATTCAACTCATCAAATGCAGTAATGATTATTGATTAGCAATCATATAGTATTAGTATGGACACCTTATGTAAAGTTTAAAATCTTGTCATTTTAAAATCTTGTCAATTTTAGTCAGAAGATGAGGCATTGGCTCGTGCTCTCCAGATGTCTATGGCCGAATCATCAGGGACAAAAACACAACCAACTTCCAATCAAACTGGGTAAGAATAAGATTTGTGATTTTCATACGCCCACATGGAAATGTTGTATACTGTCGTCGCTCCCATACATCCATCCGTCGTCCACAATTTCTTGTGAACACTCTACAGACTACATTTATTATCTGATCTTTTTGAAATGCATATATGTTTACATTAGTGAGACAAAAAAGTCAATTTAATTTCAACAATTCGGAACTGCTAGAGTTATGGCCCTTGTTTCACTTTGTAGTCCCCCGCCTTTCGAAGAAAGCAGGGGACTATTAAAATGGATTCGTCCGCCTGTCTATCCATCACACTTTTTGGGACACAATAAATTAATCTTGTGAATGCTCAAATGACAAAAGTTATCAGCCGGTCTGTATTAAATAAATGTGCATTATTTAAATTAGCAAATAATCCTATTGAATTTCATCAATTCCCATTAATGACTTCTAGAGTTATGACCCTTGTTTCACTTTGTTGAACCTTGTGAACTGTATAAAATTGATATCCGTGTCGTGTAAATGCTCCTAGGGTTTGATTTGTAGTTTGTAGTAGTTTGATTTGTTATTTGTAGTAGTTTGATTTGTAGTTTATAGTGGTTTGATTTGTTATTTGTAGTAGTTTGATTTGTAGTTTATAGTAGTTTGATTTGTTATTTGTAGTAGTTTGATTTGTAGTTTATAGTGGTTTGATTTGTTATTTGTAGTAGTTTGATTTGTAGTTTATAGTAGTTTGATTTGTTATTTGTAGTAGTTTGATTTGTAGTTTATAGTGGTTTGATTTGTTATTTGTAGTAGTTTGATTTGTAGTTTATAGTAGTTTGATTTGTTATTTGTAGTAGTTTCATTTGTAGTTTATAGTGGTTTGATTTGTTATTTGTAGTAGTTTAAGTCAAGAAGAAGAAGATCTCATGCTAGCCCGAGCCTTACAAGAAAGTGAACAAGAAGCCAGGAATCAGACACAGGTAGGATAATAAAACTAGCTCTACATCGTAATAAATGTTGATAATAAATAAATAAATGTTCGTGTCAATATTTTTTTCCTTAAACATACATTATGCAAGACCGATTAGAAATAAACTGCAAGGGCCGGATAATAATTGATTCAAAGGCACATTTCAAGCTTTTGTTCGTATGTGCCAGTAGATAAATTCTGTTTTGGTGTGAGTGGATAACTGTCATTTTGTCACCATCATTAAAAAATGTCACAAATTTTCCCAGAAAGTGTCTCGTACAGCAGACAGCGAGTTTTCAAATTTTCTGTGAAAATTCTATTGTGTCGTGTCAAATAAGCTGATTTGAGTCCAAATGATAGAGTAAAGTATTTTGGGGCTTTTTGCATGGAATACCTAACCGCGTTTTAGACCATTGGCAGGAAACTAAAAGTCAAAAATCTGAACATACTGCCAATCCAACTTCGACGTAGGAAAAAAGCCTGAATTAGATCAAATGGACCGAACATTTTGATCCGAGTTGAGCAAAGATCTGACTTAGGAAATCCGACTTACGGGCAGAAGTTTAATAAGAAAAACGTACAGGATCAAAGGGTCTAAACGATTCTATCCGAGCTGAGCAAAGATCTGACTTATACGCAGGGCTGCCAACAACAAGTATCGCAGCGCAATTTGCGATACATATTTTGTCCGTTGCTAATCAAAAATTAAACTCTAAAGTTTTTGATTCGCAGTAACTGCGAATCATTAATATGCCTGTCATTTTGGATATTGACACAAGGATAATCCGCATTTGAAGACTAGAAGGCTTTTTCAACACTTTCAACGTGTATAAAATGTTGAATAAAATTTTATAAACAAAACTGAATTCTCCGAGTGACATTTTCTACTCGAATTACCCAGACACAATTGATTTCTATACTCCCCAGCGATCCAACCTTCGTTCTTCAAGTGATCGTAGCATATTGAGGATCCCCAAATATAATAAGCGTTCTGGTGAATATGCTTTCTCCGTCAAAGCAGCAAAAATGTGGAATGATCTTCCAAAAACTCTTAGAGAGTCCTCTTCCATCCAGAGCTTTAAGACTAACTTAAAAACCTACTTATTTCAAAAATGTTTTTGAACTGTTTTGTTGTGAATGCGCTTAGAAACACTCATGTGTAATGAAGCGCTATATAAATCGAACAATAATAATAATAATAATTATACGGTACTATATAATACAGGGACATAACTCTATGAATAAGGACTATTAAACCGGAAATAGGGAATCAGGTAGTACCACTCACGTTGCGAGACATCAAGTAATTATATCATATTCATTTTGAAAGAAATAAATCCAGTGTATCCCCCACGTTTTGTAAATAAAATATAAAAAAATAAATATATGTTAACGTATTGTAAAATGATAAATCAAAGTAAAAATTCCCATAAAATATCACGTGTGTCTAGTTAATCGAAGTGCGCCCGATTTAACAAAAGTAGCAATACACGATAAAAAGCAGACGAAATTGTTTTCTAACGAAGATTTCTAACGTAACAAAAAATAACAATTAAAATGATTGGGGCTTCGGAAGTCACTGTTAAGAATTGGCTTTAGACATAAAGACCTAACTAAATGTCTACATCACATTCACAAACTGTCACAAGTACTTGTGGCAGTACTAAAAAAAATCTAAGAATAGTAAGAATGGAATCTAATCATATTTGTTATGAACTAAAGTAATATCTTGTTATTTAGGTGTTTTATGTTCAAACTGAAAAACTGCTAATCAATTTTTAAATTTGCTAATCAAATTTGGCAAAATTGGACTTTTTGATTAGCAGTGCTGCTAATCAACTGTGAAAAATTACCGACAGCCCTGCTTATACGAGGTTTACTGTATAAATTTAATCTAAGATTTCTTTGCATTTTGTTCTTACATAATGTATTTATTTATCGTATTTTTCAGAGAACAGAAAATAAAGAAAAATTCTGTATGTTATCCTGACAAACTGTTCGTTAGTTTAGAAAAATAAATAAAAGTTTTAAATTGTAAAGACAAATAATACTGACTGCCATTTGTTTGTCAATGCTTCCGTTATTATTATAAGGTATTAAATCTCTTGGATTTGTTTCAAAATAAGGTATTGAATGACTAAAACACAGATCCTATTTCGTTTCATTTTTTATAGTTCAAAATTTCGTTTTACTTGTCTTTACTACACTTGGATCTGGAAGAGTTGTTACGTAACCTGCGTTCTGGTTGATGCGAGGGATTAGCCAATGAAATGGTGTGTTACGCGAGTTCTTGATGTGCGGTGCAAGAACTGAGCCGCTATAAACATCAACGCTGATTGGTTAATCAAATGTCTGGTGTCATAGGGTCAAAAGCTGTTTGTTTGATCCCTGACACAACCTTCCACTACAACCGGTCATGTCTTTATCTTTATGCAGTGGAGGCCATCGAAAGTAAAAAAAAAAAGAATGAAACGAAATATAGATCTGTATGTTAATCAGATTGGTATTGAATTAGGTTGTATACAGAAGTAGGCTGGTTTATTCATTTTAGTTTCATTTTTTACTCACACAAAATCAGTTATATCTTAACATTGAAATTTTTATCAGAAACAGATTGTCACACCACTAAACAAATCAACAAATAAAACCCAATAAATTAAAACTCACAATTTTATATTTAACACGATAAAAGCAGTCTGACTATTTTATGGTCAGTTTATGGAATGAAAAACAAAAATGTTATGTGTTTTTATTATTCTCGTAATTAAGTGTTGAAACGTTAAAGTGCTTTATCTTTTTATTGCTAAAAAATCTTTCGTTAAAGCAAAGAGCTAAAACATACACAAGAACGAGCGCGGGCAACGTTTTTAAATGTGCATGTTAAAATTGGCCTATCGTTTGTACCAAATTATGTGAATATCTTATTATTGTTAAGTGTCTTATATTTATTTGTTCTTCTGTCATGTTCGTATTTTGCTCATTCTACTTGATAGGATATCACACTTTATATTGCCTTAATAGATTTAAAGAGTCGTTAGTACTTTCAAGTCCTTCAACAAATCGCTAAAAAATAAATTACGCCTTTTAGTGATTTGTTAATATTAAATAGATTGCATGTAAAATTTGAGTCCTAATCTGCAAATCCACCATTCTGTGAGAGGTGTTTTCATTAGTTGGTGGGTATGCTCGTGAACAATGCCAGCTCTTAAATATGCCAGTTTTTATAAAATTAGCAATGCCTAGGTTTATTTCGCATATTATAGTATATAAAATTAATTGTTGAAAGTATTAATTCCTCTTTAAGATTGTGATGATGTCTACATTTTTAAATATTCCCTGATTGTACGTGACAAGGAGTAGGGCACCTGTCCAACCTCGTGGGTTTTCTCCAGGTCCTCCGGTTTCCGCCCACTGCTAAAGACCTCTACATGCAAGTGAACTATTGAAATAAAATTAAACGATATGTTAATCCCGAAATGACCTATTTCTTTAAATTTAACCATGAAAGAAAGAAACCTGTTTTTATATTATTATTATTATGTGATAAGTTCTGATGTATTTGTGCAATTTTCTGATATATTTAATATGTGAAATTGTATATAAAATATATATATATATATATATTATTTGTTAATCATTGTATTGTACATGATTTAACTTTTATCTTATTAAATTTATCTTATAATTATATTGTCATTGTGGTTTTTGTCCGAGAAAGTTCATCAGGATTTTTCGACGTGATTTCTCCTTGTCGGTGGTGCGGGGATCACGTGGCTAAGTGGGTAAGACGCTAGCTCGCTAGCCTGGAGGTCGGGTGTTCGATCCCTGCATTGGCCGAGAAAGTTCATCCAGATTTACCGGCGTGGTTCTCCCTTGTCAGTGATGCAGGACGGAGTGGCTGACAAGGAAAGCTGTCTAGTCGTTCGGATGGGACGAAAAACCGAGGTCCCGTGTACACATTGGCGTGCACGTAAAAGATCCCTTGGCAGTTGGAATTCGATATAATAGTAGGCCGTAGTGCCGCTGTCCAGGCAAAATTTCCCTCATAGCACACTGTATGGTGTATGCCCGTCTTCATTAGCCCAGGTTAGGAGCAGAACAGTAGGACGTTAAACTCCATTTCATTTCATTTCATTTGTCAGTGATGCAGGACGGAGTGGCTGACAAGGACAGCTGTCTATTCATTCGGATGGGCCAAAAACTGAGGTCCGGTGTACACATTGGTGTGTACATAAAAGATCCCTTAACAGTTGGAATTCGATATAAGAGTAGGCCATAGTGCATCTGCCCTGGCAAAATTTCCCTCATAGCACACTGTAGGGCGTATGCCCGTCTTTGTTAGCCCAGTCATAGCAGAACAGTAGTACGTTAAACTCCATTTCATCTCATCATTGTGGTTATTTGACTGGAAGGGACGATGGCTCGGGGGTAAGACGCTAGCTCAGTAACCTTAAGGTCCTAGGTTCAATCCCTGTGGGGATCACAAAAGTTTCCCAGTATTATTTGGCGTGATACAGGACTGAGGGCCGGGTAAGGACAGCATCTAGTTGTTCCAATGGGACGAAAAAAAGGTCCTGTGTACACCTTGGTGTGCACATAAAAGAGTCCATGACAGTTAAAATTCAAATGCTCTCAAGACATCCATCAGAACAGTAGGACATTAAATCCCATTTCATTTTCATTGATTCAGGGCAGGGGCTAAGTGAGAGGGACGCAATGAGCTTTTGCGCCCCCTCGCAAATTGCCAAAAATCATGCAGTTTTCAACATGATAATCATAATCATAACTATCAAACATATACCCTGGGTCAGATATGCTACAAATCAACTATAGCATGTTCCACGCAGACCAATATTACCCAGTGGCACTGGGAGGAACTGCCACCCCACCCTTTCCCCCTTGCACACCATATAAATATTGTTTTTCGGGGTACAGACAGGGTCTTGTTCCTCATGTAAAATTATGAGTCACCACACCCCTGATTCAGGGTTATATGAAACTGACAATTTGTTTGTCATAAATGTCCCATCTGATTCAAAGACAGATCCTATTTCGTTTCGTTTATTATAGTTCAAAATTTGGTATTACTTCTCTTTGTCAAACAAAACAAAATGAATTTAAAAGAGGTTTAACGTATTTTCCTGCACCAAACTTGCTATTGAAGGCGCCACGAGGGAAATCTGCGCGGACAGCGACGTTGCACCCATATAATCTCCATCGATTTCAAAAGCGTAGCTGAGCAGGCGGGGGGGGGGGGGGGGGAGGGGTACTCCGCAAACCCCACCTTTGGATCCGGGTGGAGTGAACGACACAGTATGTCCGTGCAAACACAGCAATCTATTGAACACCCCCCACCCTGAGATTCTAAAGAAGTCAAAACCATTATTAATACATTCAGACCTCTATCCATCTTAATGTTACCAATTTTCATGTCGATCGTCACAGATTATATAATAAACTTGTTAAATATAATCCACTTAGACGGATTAATAAACAATGGACCAATGGTAGTTAACGGTTGTTAATTCGATCTACGCTGTTGGTAGCCGTTACAGGCAAATTAATAAACCTCTGTTATGTAATTATATGTATGTAACTATTACCAACATCTGTCGCGTAATCAATATACTAGTATGTATAAACATTACTCATAACCTTGGTGACACGAGGACAAGGTATATAAGTCAGAGAAATTTCAAGTTTCAACATTCACTTTCATTCGTCGTGTTTTTCTCCGGGTATCTTCACTGTTAACCCTTTAAACTTTCAACATGAGAGAAATCGTTCATATGCAAACTGGCCAATGTGGCAACCAGATCGGAGCTAAGGTAGGTTTTTATAAGGTTGCAATCTTTGAGTCTGATTAATTCAGTGTTAGAAATATTTCAAATATTTTATTGTCAATACGTTTAGAATAACGGCTTTAGTTTGTTGATATTGCGATTGTTGCCGCACAGAGTCAACACTCAATATCTGTATATTTTCGATATTTTCTCCTGTAAAATAGTTGCAAATAGGGATAAAATTTCAAGATTCTTGCATTCACTGGAATAATTCTCAGATATTTTTCTTAGGGTCATCTTCGTCAATCTTGAGATTTATTTCTCAACCCCGTCTTAATTCTCTTCTTTATTTTGCATGTTTTTGTAAGTTTATGTTTATTAAAAATCTTTTTTCAGATTGCGTAATGTTTCAATTAATCTAATTTGTTTATTTTTCAGTTCTGGGAAGTAATCTCTGATGAACATGGTATCGACCCAACTGGAGCTTACCACGGTGATTCTGATCTTCAGTTGGAGAGAATCAACGTTTATTATAATGAAGCTACAGGAGGAAAATATGTACCCAGAGCTGTTCTTGTCGATTTGGAACCTGGTACCATGGATTCTGTACGATCAGGTCCTTTTGGTCAGATCTTCCGTCCAGATAATTTTGTCTTTGGTCAGAGTGGTGCTGGTAATAACTGGGCTAAAGGTCATTATACAGAAGGTGCCGAGTTGGTTGATTCTGTTCTAGATGTGGTCCGTAAAGAAGCTGAAAGCTGTGATTGTCTACAGGGATTCCAGTTGACCCATTCCCTTGGTGGTGGAACTGGTTCTGGTATGGGAACCCTCCTCATCAGTAAAATCCGTGAAGAATATCCAGACAGAATCATGAACACCTTCTCTGTCTGTCCTTCACCTAAGGTAAGAATATTTCACATTATTATTACTTTGAACTTAATCCTTTTAGAAAGTCAAATGCCACGTCTAATTGGAGCAGTTGCCCCGGTTGTACATCACAAGGCGTAGGATCGCCTGTCCAACCTCGTGGGTTTTCTCCGGGTCCTCCGTTTTCCTCCCACTGCTAAAGACCCCTACGCGAAAGCGAATTATTGAAATAAAATTGAACCATATGTTAGTCCCGAAATGACCTTGTTTGTGTCGAGCGGACGTTAAACACCCTCTCTCTCTATCTCTCTCTCTCATTTGAACAGTTTACAAGTTTTTATTTTATATTTATATTTAAACCAATGGGATTGTGGCTCTAACGTAAAGATTTATCTTTTACAGATCTTTCGAAATCTAGAACCATCTTAATAAGTGTTTTATTGTGTTTAATAGTTGTTTTTATTTGTGTATAATTTCAGGTATCTGATACAGTTGTAGAACCGTACAACGCTACTCTCTCAGTTCATCAACTTGTAGAAAATACAGACGAGACCTACTGTATTGATAACGAGGCTCTCTATGATATCTGTTTCCGTACCCTCAAACTGACCACCCCTACATACGGTGACCTCAATCATCTGGTGTCAGCCACCATGTCTGGAGTGACCACCTGTCTGCGATTCCCTGGTCAATTGAATGCTGATCTACGTAAACTGGCTGTAAACATGGTACCTTTCCCACGTCTACATTTCTTTATGCCAGGTTTTGCTCCCCTCACCTCTCGTGGATCCCAGCAGTACCGAGCTCTCACTGTACCCGAACTGACCCAGCAGATGTTTGATGCCAAGAACATGATGGCTGCCTGCGATCCTCGTCACGGACGTTACCTAACAGTAGCTACCATGTTCAGAGGTCGTATGTCCATGAAGGAGGTAGATGAACAGATGTTGAACGTTCAGAATAAAAACAGCAGCTACTTTGTTGAATGGATTCCCAACAACGTAAAAACAGCTGTCTGTGATATTCCACCAAGAGGTCTGAAAATGTCAGGAACATTTATTGGTAACAGTACAGCTATCCAAGAACTGTTTAAGAGAATATCTGAACAGTTTACAGCTATGTTCAGAAGAAAGGCTTTCCTCCATTGGTATACTGGTGAAGGTATGGATGAGATGGAATTTACGGAAGCTGAATCTAACATGAATGATCTGGTATCTGAATATCAACAATACCAGGATGCTACAGCTGAAGAGGAAGGAGAATTTGATGAAGAGGAAGGTGAAGAAGAAGGTTAAATATAAGAAGATGCTTAATTTAAGACGTGGTGGTTAATTTTCCCATAATATTTATTACTATTTATTACTTTATTAAAGTTTTCCTCGAGTAATTCAACATTAAAACTTAAGACAATTTAATTAATGGTTGTTTTGTTTTCAATATATGCTCGTATTCTGACATTGGAAGCATAAATAACAGATAATTGCGCATCCTAAAATAGGCAAGTTGATATCACAGGCGACTGTAGCATGGTTAATATTCCAATAATAACATCAAGCTATGACTAAAAGAGAACGAGAATCGGTTTCAGACGAGTTATTTGCCTCAGAGTTAGAAATCGGAATCAGACCAGTTATTTGATAATCTCGCTTACAAACATAGATGTAACAGACTTTAAACATAGTTTAGTCACAGCTTGATGGTTGACATATGTTAAATCATTTAAATGCGATAAAGGGTCCAGAAGGGCGGGGCGAAAGGGCGCAAACGTACGAGGGCTGACTGAAAAGTTCTTTGCCCGAAAAGGATAGATCAATTGGGTTGAAACAATCTTTTACCACCAACAAGTACAGCCATTCAATGAATCATAGACAAAAGAACTACAACCGTAGTGTTATTATTGTCTTCGTACCAGATCCACTGAAAACACCAGAAAGTGACAAAACTGGCTACAGGGCAGTCATCAAGTACCTGCAATTGAAAGGGCTAACCCAAACACAGATATATGCCGACATGGTCTCCACCTTAGAGGATGACACCCGTCCTTTTCCACAATAAAGAGTGTGTGAAATAGCTTTATTTAACGTCCGCTTCCACCGAGGTGATATCGCAGACAATAAAGAAGTGGGCTGCGGAATTTAAGCGTGGCAGAGAGAGCCTTGACGATGACCGACGTCCTGGAAGGCCATCAACAGCAACCATTCATGAAAACATTACCCGGGTCCATGACATGGTGATGGAAATTTTGCCCGGGCAGCGGCACTATGGTTTACTCTTATATATCGAATTCCAACTGCCAAGGGATCTTTTAAGTGCACGCCTATGTATACACGGGACCTCGGTTTTTCGTCCCATTCGAATGACTAGACAGCTGTCCTTGTCAGGAAACCACGCCGGAAAATCCCGATGAACTTTCTCGGTCAATGCAGGGATCAAACACGTGGCCTCCATACTAGCGAGCCAGCGTCTCGTGCCCCCCCAACCCCATCATGTGCCTAGCAACGGAGAAAGTAAAGAAAATGATTTATAAGGATGTAAAAATATTAATATACTATGCCAGACTAACTTCAAAGTCTTATGCATATGATTGGTCGAATGATCGATCGTTAGATCTGGGCTTTTTATTGACAAGAAGCAGGGTCGCCTATCTCCGGATTTGTAGAGATGTTTTTGTTTAGGGTATGGCAAGGCGGATCCTGACCCCCCCCCCCCCCAGCAATGCGAGATAATGGTTTAGACATATGTGATATAACAATTAATGCAATTAATGCTTTGCATCAATCAAATTGAATCACAGTATGATCCCATTAATTCATTACAAAAATTGACGTCAAATGGGGTGTTAGATTTCTCTCTGTAAAAAGCTCAGTGCGTATGCACGCCTAAGTGATTTGGAGACGATGACGGTATCATGCATTTTCAACGGTCAAATTTCCTTAACAGGAACCTGGCAAACCCCCTCCTGCAAAAACTCCTGGATCCGCCCCTGTATGGAGCTCAATTTTGAACCCGTTTTGCTTTTAATATTGTTTTATTAATTACAATTCGAGGTCTATGTAGGGGCGGGCCAATGAAGAGGGGGGGGGCGGGCCAATGAAGAGGGGGGCGGGGGTGTCATGCATTGTGCCTTCAAGCAGAAAAAGGTTGCTGAGAGAGTGAGGGTGTGACCTTTTGAGTCCCCTGCTCCTGTCATCACACTTCTGGATGCAATTGTTAGTAATATAGCTTTATATAAGAATAATCTTGTAGGTATCTGGTCTTAATAAAGATGTCATAATTATGTTGGGTGAAAATAATAGCTGCATTATTTCACCTGCAGCACCAAGACAAGTTTCATACGATAAGTTAAGTTATCCCCTATGACATTCAGCACTTTAAACCGAGGATTTATCAACCTCACCCACTCTTGAGCACAAACTTTTTCAGATCACGTTTTTCCAAAGTATGAAAATGATGTACCCAAAATTGAAATGAAATGAAATGGGGTTTAATGCCCTACTGGTACCCAAACCCAATGTATTTACAACATCGTATGGGCTGTACACAACAAGCATCAGCAGTTACTGACAATCTGCAAGGAAAGACACACAGACCACACCGTATCTCGTCACATTTATAAAAGCTTGCACAGAGGCGTGCTGGGCGGGTAGTCAAAAAAAGAAGAAACTGGAAATGGTTGATAATGTTCGAATTCGATTAGATTTCCTACCAGGGTATAGGGATGTGTGCTCTTCCTTTTGGAAAAAAGTGCCTTCCATTCTGAAAAAGTGCCTCCCTTATCGAAACAGTGCCTTAATTTCGTTTAGTTCTTAATAACAATCCCTCAACCAAGTTTTAATGTATGTTATATCATGGCTCAGGTATATGTCAAATCGATTCTAGCATGTGCCACAGAAGCACACAATTCCTGGAGCTGCCCCCTAAAGTGCCTTATGTTTAGTCTGCCTACTTTCTCTCGGAGGCCCCAGCACGCCTTAGAGTGTACATTTGAAAATATATTCTATTAACCCCGATGATTTATCAGGGATGGGTTATCTGGTAGAACCATCGTCATCAAAGGCGATTAATTAACACTGTAAGACATTGAATTTAAAATCTGATAAGGTCTTGTCAAATATCGGGAGTATAACTACAAGACCTTCTAACATACTTCATCAACTCTTCTAACACACCAAGGGACTATACAAGATGGGGTTTCCCCACCAGATTTCTTGGAAATGATCACTTTATATGAAGATACTGTATATATTTTAACATATTTATTCCTGATTTATATAATACAGAATAAACATAACAATGATTAAAATAATTTATAATAATTTAAATATTTCTACTAATTAAATTTGTGTATCTGATATTTAAGCTTCTTCTTCGCCTTCTTCTTCATCAAATTCTCCTTCCTCTTCAGCTGTAGCATCCTGGTATTGTTGATATTCAGATACAAGATCATTCATGTTAGATTCAGCTTCCGTAAATTCCATCTCATCCATACCTTCACCAGTATACCAATGGAGGAAAGCCTTTCTTCTGAACATAGCTGTAAACTGTTCAGATATTCTCTTAAACAGTTCTTGGATAGCTGTACTGTTGCCAATAAATGTTCCTGACATCTTCAGACCTCTTGGTGGAATATCACAGACAGCTGTTTTTATGTTGTTGGGAATCCATTCAACAAAGTAGCTGCTGTTTTTATTCTGAACGTTTAACATCTGTTCATCTACCTCCTTCATGGACATACGACCTCTGAACATGGTAGCTACTGTTAGGTAACGTCCGTGACGAGGATCGCAGGCAGCCATCATGTTCTTGGCATCAAACATCTGCTGGGTGAGTTCGGGTACAGTGAGAGCTCGGTACTGCTGGGAACCACGAGATGTGAGGGGAGCAAAACCTGGCATAAAGAAATGTAGACGTGGGAAAGGTACCATGTTGACAGCCAGTTTACGTAGATCAGCATTCAGTTGACCAGGGAATCGTAGACAGGTGGTCACCCCAGACATGGTGGCTGACACCAGATGATTGAGGTCACCGTATGTAGGCGTGGTCAGTTTGAGGGTACGGAAACAGATATCATAGAGAGCCTCGTTATCAATGCAGTAGGTCTCGTCTGTATTTTCTACCAGTTGATGAATTGAGAGGGTTGCGTTGTACGGTTCAACAACTGTATCTGATACCTGAAATTATAGACAAATATTAGAATTGTTAACATAAAAGGGCAACACATATTAACACCTATTCGCAATTTGCCTTGAACTCTGTGGTAATTATTCAGCTGTCTTTTTATTCAGTATTACAATATCGCTATTATAATATGTCAACATATTCTTACCTTAGGTGAAGGACAGACAGAGAAGGTGTTCATGATTCTATCTGGATATTCTTCACGGATTTTACTGATGAGGAGAGTTCCCATACCAGAACCAGTTCCACCACCCAGGGAATGGGTCAACTGGAATCCCTGTAGACAGTCACAGCTTTCAGCTTCTTTACGGACCACATCTAGGACAGAATCAACTAACTCGGCACCTTCTGTATAATGACCTTTAGCCCAGTTATTACCAGCACCACTCTGACCAAAGACAAAATTATCTGGACGGAAGATCTGACCAAAAGGTCCTGATCGTACAGAATCCATGGTACCGGGTTCCAAATCGACGAGAACAGCTCTGGGTACATATTTTCCCCCTGTAGCTTCATTATAATAAACGTTGATTCTCTCCAACTGAAGATCAGAATCACCG